TTTGAGTGACATCTCCAAATTGTAACTTTCTAAGCAATTGCTTGAGCCAAACAAGTTCACAAGCAGTTGAGGTCATAGCTCTATATTTTGCTTCTGCACTAGATCTTACCACAACACTTTGTTTCTTACTTTTCCATGAGACCAAGTTACCACCAATGGAAACACAATATCCAGATGTAGATCTTCTATCCGAAGGAGATCCTGTCCAATCAGCATCTGAGTAGCAAACAACTCTTATATTGTTATTAGAATCATATAACAATCTTTTTCCAAGAGATCCTTTAATATACTTTAAGATACGAATGACTGCATTCCAATGATCTTCACATGGGGAATTAAGAAATTGACTTACCACACTGACTGCAAAGGAAATGTCAGGACGAGTAACTGTAAGATAATTCAATTTTCCAACCAATCTTCTATACTGCTCAGGATCAGGTATAAGCTTCCCCTGATTTGGTAGAAGTTTAGTATTGGGATCCATGGGCGTATCAACAGACTTTGAATTCATCAACCCAGTTTCCTCCAAAATATCCATGACATACTTCCTCTGAGATATAACAATACCATCGTTGGACTGTGTCACCTCAATACCCAAGAAATATCTAAGTTTACCAAGATCTTTGGTCTGAAAATGGTGACAGAGATGTTGTTTCAACTGAGAGATGTCATGGTTGTCACTACTTGTAAGAACGATGTCATCAACATATACTATCAAGTAAACACATCCAGCACTTGAGTGTCGATAAAAGACAGAGTGATCTGCTTCACACCGAGTCATACCAAATTGTTGAACAACCTTGCTAAACTTTCCAAACCAGGCCCTAGGAGATTGTTTTAGGCCATATAGGGATTTGCGAAGACGACATACCATCCCAGAAGACTCCCCCTGAGCAACAAACCCAGGAGGTTGCTCCATATAGATTTCTTCTTGCAAATCACCATTGAGGAAAGCATTTTTAACATCTAGTTGATAAAGAGGTCATTGTTGAAGAGCGGTCATGGCGATAAATAAACGAACAAAAGTCATCTTTGTCATAGGGGAAAAGGTATCTCCATAATCCAACCCAAAAATTTGAGTATAACCTTTTACCACAAGACGAGCTTTGAGGCGATCAATAGTACCATCAGATCCAACTTTAATAGCAAACACCCACCTGCAACCAACAACAGATTTCCCAGACGGTAACGAGACCAATTCCCAAGTTCCACTATTATGAAAAGCACTTAGTTCATCTAACATGGCCTGACGCCAACCAGGATGGGCTAAAGCTTCACGGACAATTTTTGGAATGGTCACAGAAGAAAGAGAGGAAATACATGTATAAAAAGGTAATGACAGTCGATGATAACTCAAACTAATATAATGGGGAGAGGGATTACGTGTAGAATGGATGCCTTTTCGGAGGGCAATGGGAAGGTCAGACTCAGGTGTCACATCCGGAGGAGACAGAGTAGTTGGCACTTGAGTAGAGTCACATGGTGGTGGTTGTGATTGGTTTCAGCAACTATAAACCTGAAGAGGCAGTGAAGAAGAAACTGACTACGGAGTAGAAACTAATGGTGAAGAAAACACAGTTAGAGGGTCACAAACAACAGGAACATTAAATGTACTAGGAGTGTTGACAAGATTGGATGGAGAAAGAGGTGAAGATTGACTTTTAAAATAAAAAGAGAATTCATCAAAGGTGACATCTGCAGACACAAAATAATGGTTAAGAGAAGGAGAAAAACATTTGTATCCTTTTTGTGATCTTGTAAACCCTAAGAAAACACATTTATGTGATCTAGGAGAAAGCTTGTCAAAACCAGAACTGAAATTATGAACAAAACATGTAGATCCGAAAACTTTTAGAGGTAAGGGATGAAGTGGTTCATGAGGGAATAAAATAGAATGAGGTATTTTATTATCTAAAATCGAAGATGGCATGCGATTAACAAGATAATATGCAGTAAGAAGAGTATCACCCCAAAAATGCTGAGGAACCTCTCCATGAATTAAAAGAGTGCGAATTGTTTCAATAAGATGTCTATTTTTACGTTCAGCTACACCATTTTGTTGAAGGTGTATAAACACAAGAAGTTTGATGCAAAATACCATGAGAAGCCATGAATTGTTTAAAAGAATGAGAAAGATATTCACGACCATTATCACTGCGCAAAACTCTAATAGAAACACCGAACTGAGTTTGAATTTCATTGAAAAAAGTTTGAAAGATATGAAATAATTCAAAACGATTTTTCATCAAAAATAACCAAGTGCATATGGAATAATCATCAATGAAAGTAACAAAGTATTGAAAACCTAAAGTAGACTTAACGTAGCTAGGTCCCCAAATGCCAGAGTGAACCACGACAAAAGGGGACGAAGCACCACGTGTGACACTACGAGGAAAGGAAGTACGACTATGCTTGCCTAATTGACACGACTCACATGCCAAACTAGACAATTTAGATAAGGCAGGGACAAGTTGTTGTAACTTGGCAAGACTTGGATGACCTAAATGAGCATGGAGAAGAGAGGGAAACTCTATAACTGCACCAACATGTGTAAAGGGACGAAGATGATAAAGACCATGAGACTCACATCCTGTGTCAATCACCTGTTTCGAACTCCGGTCCTGTAAACACACAGAATTGTTGGTAAAAGAAACAACACAATCAAGAGAACGAGTTAGACGACTGATGGATAACAGGTTAAAAGGAGACCCAGGGACATAAAGAACATTATCAATGGTTAAAGAAGGAAAAAGTTTAACAATTTCAACACCATGAGATGATACTCTAGATCCATCGACCGGTGTAACAAAAGGTAAAGGATCGGGAGAGGATAAATAGGAGAACAAAGATTTGTTACCGATAATATGATCGAGTGGCTCTGAATCAAAAACCCAAGGACCGAGAAGAAGATTGGGTCGGACCAAGCAAAAGATGTACTCGTGTGTGTGACGGACACGGTGGAACTAGAAGACTGTTGATCCTTATACCATTTGAGAAATTTGTTGAACATAGCAGGTGTGTCTGATGAAATAGAAGAAGGAGGATCCTTAGCAGATAAAGGTGGGGAAAGATCAGTTTGAACAACTGTAGCAGATCGAGGAGGACGACCATGTAATGCATAACACTTGTTAATCTTGTGACCTAGTTTGCCACAATGTTCACACTCATATAATGCATAACACTGGTCAATCTTGTGACCTAGCTTGCCACAATGTTCACACTTAGGACGTCATTTTCCCTATTTGCGAGGGCAAGTTCGGTCATCACGGTGAAATACCAATGCAGAAACAGGTGTGTCAGGGTTGGGTTTTGCTGGTATACGCAAAAGAGTGGAGCAGGTCGATGTCAAGGTGGGGACAACTGGAGAACCCAAAATCTGATCACGAATATGTGAATATTGATCAGCAAGTCTGTGTAATGCCCCTAGCATGAAGAATTTTGATCGTTGTCCTATCTAGGTGGCAGGGTCGGGGGAAGGAGGCAATAACTCATTGAACTCATGAAAAAGAGCATGAATTTTTCCCATATAATCAGTCATAGAATCTTGATGTTTGGAGGCAATAACATCTACAAATTTAGAACATACATCATAGAGACGTTGAGTATCATTGGTGTATAATAACTTAGCATGTTCACAGATTTTGGCACATGTTTCGTAGGAACGAAAAAATTGTTTTAACAAAGGATCAAGAGTACAATTGAGAACCGCACATAATTGAGCATCAATGGTGTCCCAACGGTCTTCCTCACCAGGAGTGAGAGTAGGTGCTTTTGGGGCAATATGATCAAGATACTTCTGACTCTTAAGCCATAATATGACGTCTGATGACCATGTGGCATAATTAGGGTCAGTTAATTTGTCAATGGATAAGTGCACATTAACATAGTTAATGTAGATGGAAGGATCAAACACAGTACTAAAAGGAGCGGAAGAAGTCATAAAGGGCGGAGACGATAGTGACAGCGACATGAACCAGTACACCAGGTAAGTTCCCAAGAAAGAGAGGTAGGTCACTAATGGACATGCTTAAATACCAAGTCTTTTCTTGTCATAACTTTTTTAGACATGCACTTTCACACTACCAAATAACCAATAGCGATAGCGGCGGTGGTGGCAGCTTCAATAGTGGTCAAAGACAAAAAAAAAAATTCAAAATAACCTTAAGCTCTAGATACCATGTTGAATATAGAAGAAATAGAGTTTGAGATTAATCTCCCTTGTGTATAAATCACACATAAGGTAGTTTATTTATAGTAGAGAAATACAACTAAAAGAGTAACTGAAAGTAACAGAATAAAAGAAGATATTGTTTGATATTGTGGTTAACAATATCTAACAATATCAAATAATATCTAAATAATATCTAACAAAAACTATTACTTTCAACTTAAAAAAAAGTTTTGTCATATTTTTGTTACTTCACCTTCTTATCATAATCATCAAACATATTGATTTAAAAAATTTGCAATTTTTACAAAATTATTTATATATTTTCCAAAATTATATTTCCAGACAAAAATATTTTACGTACTTATTTTAACTTATTGAATTATATCATAGTTGTCATTACTTTCACTTCTTATCAGCCATAATTATATTTAGATTTGTGTATTTTTTTATATTTTAATTAATACATTTAAAAAAATATATATTATCATACAACAGTATTTCTTTTGAACGTTTTTACATTTTATGAAAATTTTATTACTTCAACCTTTTCTCCTTATAAATTTTTATTGATTAAAAATTATCCTATGTTATAATATTAAGATGTAAATTTATTAAATGTGTAATGTAAAATTCACAACATTTTATTATTTGTAATAGATTTCAACTTTAAAAGAATCTATGTTACTAACCATTTTTTAAAGTTTGTATAGAGATTTAGATAAGTGGTGGGTGTATGGGAGTAAGGAGAATAAGTCTATCGTCTTTAACCGAGGCCAGGTATGCCAAAACAAATGGGCTGAAACCGGCCCAATATGACGTTTGCTTTATCCTAACGGCACTGCTGTCCCACATGACACTGGGTGTTGCTGAACGGGATCGTATCAACTCGTGCGAGGTTGAGGAAAACAAATCGGAGTATATCAGTATTAGTAATAGGGGAGCACTCCGAATTACTCTCACTCTGCGTGAGCCATGACATGAAACCCACGTGCTCCCTTTCTCTTTCTTTCTGAACCTTCAAGTAAAGTCTAACTGGAAGTGTGAGCCTCGAGTTTGTTGTTTCTGATCCAATTCTTCGTTCCTCAATGGAGGACGCATTTGCCAGATCTATTCCCGAGGTAACTTCCTTCTGTTTATTTTCCTTGCTGCTACAACAATTTCCAAATCTCATTATGACATCACAATTGTCATTCATCAAATCTCCAACATACATTCTTTCTTAAATTATAGAAGATATGGAATTTGAATTTTCGACGTTTTTCTGTTTTGCGACCTGTGATTGTAGAGATTTTGTGTTTCCATTATAACGAAACATGGTAATGTTGAAAATCTATGATCACACATGCTTACCTATCGCAATAACATTAGTAAACTCTGCTTCGACTTCTCTGTCTAAATTACGATTCGGTTCTCACGGAGATTGCTAGAGCCGTGTTATATATTTGAATGTTCCTCTAGAAAGCGATGATTATTGTTGTTAATTTTGTTAGGTCCTCGATTTCTTTGAAGTGGACCCGACTAAGGGCTTATCTGATGCTGAGGTGCTCCAATCTCCTTTCATTTCCTTGTCGTATCGGTACTCATATTTTCTATAAGCCCGACTATGATGATAATGTTTTCAAATGATGGTATTGGTACTCTTATTTTCCAGGTAGTACAACATGCTAGACTTTATGGGAATAACGGTATGTCTTCTCTAGGGCCGTGTATATTTAACTTAGTTTATTACGTACACAAGCTAGTCTTAATTGATGGCACTCAGGATAACAAAATCACACTACCGAACTTGGCATTTGAGAAATTTACCTCTTACATCTTTGTCACCAGTTTTGTTTATGTATCTTTTTTGCTTGCTTGCCTATTAACATTTCTTTCCTTTTCTCTTACTGCCTGGTGACGTTTGCTACACAGTGCTGCCTGAAGATCAAAGTAAGTATATGGAGTTTGTACCTATGTCATACTTTTGTTTATTTTTTATTATGTAATTGAGGTGACTGAATGGTTTTCATTTACTCTACCTGAATGGAAATGGTAGTGCCTGACATTTGATTTTGACTAGTTATAGAAAAGAGTTTTCATATTTACTGTATTATATTGGATGCTAAGTAATTTGAGGATCATTCATAAAATCCTATTAATGATAGTGTAATTGGTTTGACCCTCATCTCATATATTATTGCTAATTGAAGTTTTTATGGTTCTAGCTCTAGTTCATTACCGTTACCTCAGTTGTACTGTAGTTGTTTTGTTTGACAAATAAAATCAAACCAGTTCTTGTTACTACTACTACAACAACAACAACAACAACAACCAAGCCTTATCACACTAGATTTCATAGTTCTCATTGTTACTAAATCTTATCATATTTAATATGCAGGAGCTCCATTTTGGAAATTGGTTTTGAAGCAATTTGATGATTTGCTTGTAAAGATACTGATTGCAGCTGCTCTTATATCTTTTATTCTGGCTTTAGTTAATGGAGAAACAGGCTTGATGGCATTTCTGGAGCCTTCCGTAAGATATATTTGCACTCATATGTTGTGTTCTATATTTTTAGTAACATTTTTATTTGGTAAAAAAATTAATATCCCTAATAGTTTCATAACTTAATAATAATTTACAAAGTGAACTGTAAAAGTTGTATCCTTTCAATAGAAGCTGTAGATTATGAGCCAAATGAGTTTTTTTCCAACTTATTGAGTACACTTGTAATGCTGCATGACCTCTTGTGTAACTGGTAAACTCTTGGCAAGTGAATTTTTGTGAGGAATGTGCCAACAATTTTCTGAGCTAGAGAATTTACCAAAATTTCTATTTGATAAACCAGACTTATCAAATAGGTGACATTATCGTGGATTTTATTATCAGTACTGTTTTTTTTTTTTTTTTTTTGATAGAAAAGAAATTGTTATATGCATAGGTTATTCTGATGATATTGGCAGCAAATGCAGCAGTCGGAGTTATTACAGAATCAAATGCTGAAAAGGCTCTAGAGGTAAATTTGAGACACTGATATATTTTCTGCTCCAAATGATGTTGATAATGATTTCATTTTCATTACAACACTTTTTTAAATTGTTTCTAATTTGTTCTTTAAATTCTCCATGTGCTTAAAGAAAACTAGTTAAATTAAAATAACTTCTATTGTGGAATTCTCCTATTGGCTGTTTGAGCTCACTTTTTTATCTTTTTTTTTTCTCTTTTATACTATCTTAGGAGCTGCGTGCCTATCAAGCTGATGTAGCTACTGTCTTGCGCAATGGTAAACACTTTTGTACCTGTATGATCTTTTGTAGCATGGATAGTACTATTGTGCCTTTGTGACACTTTTCTGATTATAACATATAGTGTTAATGGGTGTTTGTTTAGTAAATAACTATTCAGAATTTCTATTTGGATTTTTGTTTCATTTTAAATTTTCCTATAGTATACCTAGCTAATTGTGGTAGTTTTCGTGAAAGTTTACTAATTTTGATGATATGCTCTTAACTTTGAAAGAAATATCAGGTAACTTTACTGTTTTCTCATGGTCTTGTCTTTTTCAGCTTCTATTTCTATTTTTGGGGGGTCGAGCTGGATAGGGGGAGGTGGGTTATCCTCATGAAGTTGTGTTCGCTTGCTGCATCTACTTGAGATATACCTTAAATATAGTTTAAGCTTGAGTAGTACTCACCTTATTAAGCCTTAAGTCCAAAATTCTAAGATGGTATTAAAGTCTATTATAGTTCCGATACTAGGCTTACCTACCATATTATCCATGCACCAAACCCAATAGTATTGGGTGTGGTTAGAGATGAGGGTGAAGTAATGTATATAGGTGAGGGGTTAAGGCCCAAGTCAATCCCATAAAGTTGGCTTGTAAGGTAAGTTTATTTAAGCTCTATAAACTCTATTTAAGCCATATTTCTTGTCAATGTGAGACTAAACCAGTGTAAAATTCAAATCTATAAAACTTATGAGCTACGCTATTAAATTATAGGTAATGGAAATCAAGGATAGAATAAGAGAAGAGACGAAGATTATAGAGGACCAATTTGGTTTTATTCCACAAAGGTATACATCAAAACCCATATATCTTTTACAAGGGTTAATGGAAAGAGATCAAAGCAAATTAAAGAGACTTACCTATGAGTTTTATTTGACTTGGAAAGAGCATACTATCAAGGGTGAAGAAAAGTGTTGTGAAAAACTTTGGAGAAGAAGTGTTCACATGGTTTATATATATGACATATATATTATGTGGTAGCTATTAGTGTGAAGTCCAGGAGCCGAGATTAAGGACTTTGCTATAGGGATAGAACAACTATAAGTCCTTTTTAACCTAGTCTTGAATATGTTTAGCAAAGACGCACAAACGATTATCCCTATTTACATATTTTTGCCAAATGATATATAGTTTTGGTTGAAAAATCAAGTGAAGCGTTAAACTTAAAATTTGAGTTTTGAAGACAAACTTTGGAAAGAAAGGGTATTTGTTTAAATATCTAGGGGCAACACTACCTAATAATTGGGAAGTTGATGAGGATGTCATAGATAGGATACAACTAGGAAGACTAAAATGAACAAAGATATCAGGGGTTATTTGTGATCGCATAGTACTTACCCAACTCAAAAGTAAGTTTTATCATATTGCTGTTCATCTGATTATAGTCTATGGTAGTGAATGTTAGATTTTAAAGAAACAATAGAACAAGGTGAAAGTAGCATAAATGTTATTGTTAAGGTTTATGTGTTGTCACAGAAGAAAGGCCATCATATGAAATGATTGTGTACCAGGAGGTATTGGTTTGACATATATTGATGAAAATATGGGAAATTAATTAAGGTGGTTCTGGACACATACAACGAAGACCACTGGAAGCACTAGTGCAGAGAGTAAGATTCCATGGTTTATAGTATTGTGAAAAGGATGGGAAGACCTAGAAGAACATTGGAGGAAGCGATTAAGAAAAATCTCATGATGAACATTATCTCTGTATATTTGGTCTTTAACTGAGCCAAATTGCGTCTTGACTTCACCTAATTCAAAACAACTTTTTGTTGTTGTAAATTAAATACATAAAATAAATGAGGTGATATTGCTAAATTATTATACTATGAATCCTGCTAGAATATAACTTGGTGATGTCAAGTGTCTTCTGCATTAACAATTTCAATTAGATCCAGTCTCCTTTTATGTTCCTTTGGACAGAAATTTCAACAAATGTTTGCACTCTTAGGCTATATGTCCTTTGCTGACAAATCTTTATGATTAGTTAACCATTTTTTTGTTGTCATATAGTTTTCTAAACCATTCTCAATATTTTGAGTAGACCACCTAATAATGCTTTATGGAAAAAAAGAGAACAGACTGGATAGAAACATAAAAAACTTGAGTGTAGTTTTAGTTTCCCTTTGGATAGCTCTGTTGGAAGAGGGTGGGCCAAACAAGGATAGTGCCAGTTCAAATCCCTGCACTGGGGCACATTCTGCATCCCCCAACTAGTTAACAATTTTGTGTTCTAATTTTTCTTCTGTCTGCCATGATGATACTGTGTTTTTTTTATTGAATTGGTCAAAACTTGTATCTTGAGGTTGTAGTAAATTTTTTTAATCTAGTCTCTACTTCTTGCAGGTTGTTTTTCCATACTTCCTGCTACTGAACTTGTTCCTGGGGATATTGTGGAAGTTTCCGGTAAGCTGATAAGCAAACTGGCTAATTTGAGTATTTAATCCTGGAAAGAAGTTTAATCTGTTCTGGTTTTGAATTAAATAGTGGGGTGCAAAATTCCTGCTGATATGAGGATGATTGAGTTGCTAAGTAATCAAGTGCGTGTAGATCAAGCTATTCTTACAGGTATTCCTGCTGCACATATCATTTACTGTGAATGGAACTATTGAATGTTCCGCCTAGGAGTCACTTCACTGTGTATTACTGCTATAGTTAATTTAGGTAACTGTTTGTGAATTACTGCTGTAGTTGATTTATCATGCAGCCCATGCTACGATCCATAAGAGGGAGAGGTATTGTAGGTGACTTTTTCTCTGATTTTTTTAATAATATTTAATATTATCCTTGTTAATGAATTAATAATTTTAGCTTGTTTATTTGGATAACTTGCCTACTAAGGTAATTAACCCCCTTGACAAAATTGATTTTCTTTCATAGAAAACAATGTTTTAAAATAAAATTCGTAAATGCTTCTCTCACTAGCATATGCTTTTGCATTATCATATTTGGTACTGCTACATGTGGAAACAAGTTAGTAAGTTTGTTAGTGTTCAGCCTGACTCATTTTAGGCTTGCTTGCTTTTCCTGTTCGACTAACAAATTTTGTCAAAACATTTTAAAATTGTTTTGACCTAAATTTGGCTGCTGTTATGATTGCTACACTTTAGACTACTTAAAGGTTCCATTTGGCATAATTAATGGCCCTGTTGCAAAGTTTTCCTTCAAAATACACTTTTAGGGGGCCAAACCATATTTTCAAAATGGTTATGTTGGTTAAATGTGTCAATCTCACTGCCTCACACCTTGTGTGTGGGAAATAGACCATGTATGTTTAAGGCAAAATTTATGTGTATGAATGTATCAATTGTTTATCGAACACATAGTTATCTATATCTTCTGACTTCTTACTGGTTTTAATGTGATCAAATTCTCTTTGCCAATTGTAGGTGAGAGCAACTCCGTGGAGAAAGAGCTCAAAACAACCACAACAACTAATGCTGTGTACCAAGACAAAACAAATATTCTGTTCTCGGTATGAATCTTGCTTTCTTTGTTCAACGATCATGTGCCTAACAAGGTTTAAAATTTTTCTTTAGACTAATAACGGTTTGGACATTTTAAGTCCAATTTGTAATTATGTTCGAGGTAGTTACTAGTGACACTTTTCTTAACTCTACTTTGGAAAATTATCTTGTTCACGTAGAAAATTTGGTTTGTTAATTTTTTGTAAATGACAAAAGTTTAATAAAAACTTGTGTAATTGTACCAATATAACTTTTAATTAAATATTTCAGCTTCTGGTTTTGGTTGGTTGAGGTTTGATGGTCACATGACAAAGATGAGTTTATTTTATGTTACTGAACTAAAATTATATGCAATTTGATTCTTGAGGGGATTTTGACCTGCAATTTTCTGTAGCATTTATTTTCATTGTGCTAATTGAATCAGATCAATGTTTCTGATATTTTGGATCAATGACTGTTGTTTAAAATTGATACACATGCCTACAAACACGCAGGACTACATATGCTCACAAACTTATAACGTTCACATGCTTGTTTATATTTATTCTTTTAAAGACTACAATAAATGAAATTTATATACTTGTAATATTCTTTATATTTATATATTGGTCATTGAAATTTATGATCAATTAAACAGTGTTGGTCAATATTTAAATTTAATTATGCTGTTATTTTTAAATTATGTAAAATATGACCATGATGATTTTGTTTTTAAGGCTATATAAAACATACAATAGTAAATTGTGAATCCATCATCTTTTATTTCAGTAAGTATTGTAAGTCATTTATTGTTAAAAAGAACCTATTAGTTATGGCGGTATAGAAATAATTTAATTTAAAGTTAAATATATGAAATTCAACATATGATAAAAACATAAAATCATAAATTTATTGTTAATAAAAATTAGAGAACCATTATGCATATCATTAATCCAAAATATTCTTATGCATATGATTAGTCCAAATATTTTAGTATTGGTAATTTTCTGCATAAATATAAAATTGAAATGAACTACTATTGGACATTAAACATGACGAATAGCTGCATTGATAGTTCTGTCTTCAGCAATTTCAAAGGCACATGAATCACAGCAATTTTAAATTGTTTGGATTTGTGTTTGTTGTTTCTATTTGCTGTACATCCAAGGCTTTGAATATTTAATAACCACGAGTTAAAGGCACTGTTTCTTGTACTCTGGGAAGCCTAGTATCATTTGAGATTGTTTCTCGTAACTCTTTATCTTTTTGTCCCCCTATATAAGAGTTTATTTTTACTGCCAGGGTACGGTTATGGTTGCTGGTAGGGCAAGAGCTGTTGTGGTGGGAGTTGGTCCAAACACAGCCATGGGAAGCATAAGAGATTCAATGTTGCGAACAGAGGATGTAAACATTGAATTTTACTCAGTGATCCTTTTACACTTTGCATCTTTATTCAATGATTTTGCACTTGTGTTGTTTCCTTCCTGATACATGGATAGGAAAGCGCTTACATTTTTTTGTTATGATTGGTTACAGGAGGCAACACCATTGAAAAAGAAGCTGGACGAGTTTGGTACCTTTTTGGCCAAGGTGATTTGCTAGTTCTCTAATTTCACTGTATTTCAAACTATTGGGGAAAAACCCAAGTTCCGCATCGTATAGAGATAGTAACAAAATATAGTATAGAAGTGGTGGAAATTCTCACCTTATTAGGTGATTTTGCAGTATTAGTCTAAACTAGTATGTAATTAGGCATGGCAACGGGACGAGAATGGGTTTTGCCTCCTCGATCTCAGTCCACGACCTTGATCCACTGTCGGGATTAGAAATTAAATCTCGATCTCCAGTCCTCTTTGGGTTTAGAGTTTTCTCGCCCCAATCTTATTATTTTTTAAAAATAATTATATTTATAATAAATTAATTTTACTATTTTTATATATTTTTTATACATAAATAAATATTTATAATTTGTAATTATTATTAATTTAATATATTTTTAATTTATTATATTTATACTAAAATATGTATATATAAGAAACATTTAATTATTTTTTCTTTATACGAGATGTAGAATATTTATAACATTATTATTATTATTATAATAATATCTGTATTCAAATATTTAAATACTTATAACATTATTATTATTATAATACTTGTATTCAAATATTTGATTATATATATAAGTTAGTTCTTTTTTAAGTTGTCATTTAAAAATATGAAATATATAGTTTATAAAAAAAGATCTAATAAGTTAGTTCTTATTTAATTAGTTCAAAGTAATAAAAATTTAAATTATCAATTTTTTTTAATCCCTTAAAATACAATTATTTTATTAAGATAAAATTTGATATATGATAAATAAGAATAATAAGATCTAAAAAAATATGATATAATAAAACCTAAGAAAGATAAATTATAAATAAAATAATATTAGTTACTACTAATATTTATGTAAAATATTTAGAAAAGAAGATAAAGAATAAGAAAAATTAAATTTGTGTTCATCAAATTGGTTGAAAAGATTGAAAAAAAAAACAAATTGATTGGAGAGATTAAGGAAATGTGAAAAAGTGAAAGGTAAGAGAAAGAGAATAATTTAATGAACTAATTGATATAAAAGATTAAAAAAGATAAAAGAATTAAAAAGTGGGCAGAAGAAAAGTAATAATGGTATAATATAAAAAAAATGACCTTATATGTAATGGAAAAAAAAGGAAATATTTTTAAAATATAATATTTTAAAATTTAAATATAAAATCGGGGCTGGGTGGGAGCTGTATTACCCATTCCCGCTCCCGTCCCGACTTTTTAAAACGAGGAAAACCTGTCTCCGCTCCCGATCAACTCGATTTTTTCCCGTCAAACTCGGGACAGGAACAGATCGGTCCTCACGGGTGTGAGTTCAATTGTCATACCTATATGTAAGATAGTGTAAGAACCTATCCTAGATCCATTATAAGGGTTACCACCATGTTATAGATGTATCAAGCCCAATATTACTAGACGTGAAGGTGTATTGGGAAAAGCCCAAGTCCTATATCAACTAGAGATAGTGCGAAAATACAATAGATAAGTGAGGGTAGTTTTTATCTTATGCCAGATTTGTAAGGTTGAGGTAGACCTAAATCACTTTGTAAAACAAACTTACGGGTTGCTATTTTTTACTTCAATCGATTTTTTAATTCATGAAAAAAAAAATCAGAAATCATGTGAGCTTATATTCTTAAATTTACTTTGCTCTTTTTCACCTGCAAAAAATGAAACCTTTCATTGGGAACCTATATATTATCACGTTCAAAAATATATCAAAGGAACATTTATGCGACTAATTCTTTTTATTGATCAAGTTTTAACTTGAAATCCAGTTATCACATTTGTTTCCAAAGTGTGATGGGGGTTCCTTTATTTCTTTGTTACAGGTTATAGCAGGGATTTGTGTCTTGGTGTGGATTGTAAATATTGGTCACTTCCGTGACCCTTCTCATGGTGGTTTCTTACAAGGTGCAATTCATTATTTTAAGGTTTGTTCTCACAATGAGCGCTTTTTTTTTTTTTTTTTTTTTTTTTTTTATCATGATTTCCATTTACTTTTGTATTCTGCTTTTTTGCAGGCATCATTTTGTAGTCTTCTATTGTTTTTATTTGCACGTACTGTTCACTTGTTTTGTGTTTAGTCTGTCTTCGTGGTTATATTGAATCTTCTTTTATAGAAGAAGATATCATGTTGTCTTGTGAACATGAAAATCTTTTAACATCTAATCATATTCCTGCTAGATTGCAGTTGCTCTGGCAGTTGCAGCAATTCCAGAAGGGCTCCCTGCAGTTGTGACAACGTGAGTTTAGGAACCTTTCTTTATTTTTCTTTGGAAGCCGTGATATATTTCAAATATCTTAGTTTTCATTATTTAAAATAAGGATAAAAATGTTTTTGGTCACTGAACTTTTCGTCAAACTTGGTTTTGATTCCTATACTTAAAAATTGATTAACTAGTTTTCAAAATTTTAAAAATATGTGAATTTAGTTATTTGATCATTTGTATGACAATAAAAAAAATGTTAATATTAAATTTAGATATAAAGAAAAACTAAAATCTATTTAGTCCTTTGTTAAACTAGAAAATCATCACTAAACATTAAATTTAAGCATAAAAAATTTATAAAATAATATATTTTCAGAAGTTGAAGACCACATTAATCAATTTGAAAATATATGGACCAAAGACAAATTTAAAAAGAAGTATAGGGATCAAAAACATGATTTTCCCTATAGAAAAAAAAAAGAAAAGAAAGAAATATATATACATATATATATATATATATATGTTCTTAATTTTGGGAATGTCCTTATATGATTTACTGCTAAATTTTCTGTAAAAGAAATCTGTTAAGAATGAACAAACCATAAGGCAGCATTTCTGAAGGCCCTTTTATGAGTGATATCTTTCTTGAGGTCTTACTATTTCTTTTTGTGAGCTGAAAGGTAGAATTGCAGTTCCTATTAAACTCAAATTTCTACCATTATCATTTACTTACACATTTACTCACAATTATGTATTAACTATCTTAAATCTCATAATCTCAATTATGTAATTTATTATTTATGTAGTCTATACTATATTGTGGTATTCTGGGCACTATTACTACACCATAATTTTTATTTATTTTTTTGGATAAGCGTGTGATTTTTTTTAAGTTTGGAGGATAAGAATTTTCCTTACTATATGGGAAAAAACACAACGGCTAAAAAGGCTTTATCCTTTGCCCTAAATATTACACCACCAAGTAGAAGCCAAAGGCCTAATAATCTTAGCAAATCAGCTGTTGTGCTATAGAAGCCTCCTTAGTCCTTGAATACTTGGTTCCCTCCCTACTGACTGGAGTCTTCTCCTGATAAGCTGAGATGCTATGTTTGAATTTTCTTTTTCCTATTTTGTATTGATGAATATTCTTTTATAATAGGTGTTTAGCTCTTGGAACAAAGCGCATGGCTAAGTTGAATGCCATTGTTCGCTCCTTACCATCGGTCGAGACGTTGGGCTGCACCACTGTTATTTGCAGTGACAAAACTGGGACCTTAACTACCAATATGATGTCAGTTGCAAAAGTGAGTTCTGCTTGACATTGAAACAATAAAATTATAATTTATACTTTTTCTTTTTTTGAGTTTTTGTTTTGCCACATGGGTCCCATTATATTGTGCCATCCTCGTTGAACTGTGTACTGAATAAATATTACATTTTGAATCAAAAATAGCCTCATTGTTATTATGTTTTAAGCTTTTTCTTTGTTCAGGAATTTTGTATGTGTATTAATAGAGTTTGTAATGAAATCTGCTTCAAGATGTGGCGGGTCTGAGTGTTATTTAGTTTTTGAACTATTAAAGCTCTCCTCTATCCTCCTTCCCCACCTTCCATTTATAAAATAGTTTTGATGTTCATTTTCAGTCCTGTCTTGTTTTTGTCAAGCCTGATACCAACTGCTGCATATAGTGGAAATGCACACAAATTATTGTTGTCAGGTTCAGGTTGATACAAAATTGTTATGCACATTTCCAATGTATATTTTGTTACACGTTGCCATGCAAAGAAAAAAAAAATCATAAAATGTGTCCTAATCTGTCTCACTCCCACTGTAAGTAACAATTTACTTGCCATGCTTTTAATATTAACATGTCCAAGGAATATTTTATTTTTTCTTGAAGTTTTTTCCTGGGTGCTAATAGTTGAAGACTTTTAGCACTAGCCTTGAGCAAACTCCTATGCCTTTGTGTGCGCAGGTGTGTGTTGTTGAATCTGCAAATCGTGGTCCTATTGTTTCTGAATACAGTGTCAGTGGAACAACATATGCACCTGAAGGCATCATATTCGACAGTACAGGATTGCAGGTACAATTATGTTAATTCTCATGCTTTTGCATTTTATGCACAAGCAAAACACATCACATTTAAGGCTAAGTAAATTACTAATACAAGGAGAGATCCAGAGAAAGGAACCTTAACTAACTGCCCAAAACAATATTCTTGGAACTATGGATATTGTGTGCCAAGTATTATAATTTGTGGCGGATATCCATGCTGTTTTACTTTGTAAATATTCACATGAGAAAGGATTGCATTTAATTAAGCCCTTCCTTAAAGCACAACTTTACCCTGGTCTTTAACTATGATGGTGGCAATGGTATATGTTAGAATTATTATTAGTTAGTGGTTAGTGGTTAGTGGTTAGTGGTTAGTGGTTAGTGGTTAGTGGTTAGTGGTTAGTGGTTAGTAGTTAGTAGTTGGTGGTTGGTGGTTGTTAATAGTTGGTGATTGTTGTTTTAAATGTTGTAATCCTATATATATATGAGATCATAGAGTGGAGTAATGCATCCCACTAAATTAGAAATCTTCTTTTCACTCTCTTAACTTGGTATTAGAGCAGGTTGGTCCTGCTCTGCCTGTCCGGCCACCATCCGGCCACCGTCCGGCCATTTCCGGTCACCGGCCGGCCATTTCCGGTCACCATCCGACCATTTTCCGGTCACCGTCCGGCCACTTTCCGGTCACCGTCCGGCCATTTTCCGGTCACTTTTCGGCAACCGTCAGTCCCCTGTCCAGTCACCTTTTTTTGCTGCCGTCCGACGACTTTTCGACCACCTTCCAGTAACCTTCCGGCTATCTTGGGTGTTCTCTTTTTTACAGGTTCCATTGTCTCCATCTTACATCTACATTATTTAAAACATGTCGTCAGGGCCCACAACCTCCTTTTCTGGAACTCCCACGATAACGGCTGAGAAATTAAATGGAAAAAATTACATGTCTTGGTCCTCTTCAGTGGAACTTTGGTTCCTTGGACAAGGGTTTCACGATCATCTAGAAGAAGACAGAAGTAAGATACCAGAAGATCAGGCTCAACAATGGAAAAAGCTTGATTATCAACTTTATGCGCTACTGTGGCAATTAGTAGAATCAAATATTTTGAACACTCTCAGATCCTACAAAACATGTAACTCTTTCTGGAAAAAAGTTCAGAATATCTTCGCAAATGATATCCAACGCCTCTATGATTCCACTAGTCGATTAGATTCTCTCAAGCAAGTGGATAAAGATATGATGACCTTTATTGTTGAAGCTCAATCAGCAGTTGAAGAATTAAAGATGTTCCTAGAGGTGGATTCGTTAGAGGAGATAAAGCAAAAGTTTGATAAATTCTATATGGTTATGACTCTCCGGGCTATGAATTCAGAATTTGATCATGTTAGAGATCAAATTTTAACTGGACAAGAAGTTCCTTCTATGGAAAATTTGACTACAAGAGTGCTTTGTGTTCCAACTCTGAAAAGGAAAAAATAATCAAGAACTTGTTGAATCTTCTACTATGATTTCTACCTGTGGAAGAGGAAGTCGCGGCACTAGAGGAGGACGTGGAGGTAGAGGACGTCCTCAGTGCACTCATTGCAAGAGAATGGGTCATACAGTGGAAAATTGCTACTCTTTGCACAGTTTTCCTGACAAAACTGTCAATTTTTCCAAATTTGAAATGGTTGAACCCAAGTTCTCTCACGAACAATATCAGGAATATTTGAGGTTGAAATCTAGTAATCTAGCACAGTCATCAACAACCCCAAATTCATCAACAGCTTGCATTTCACAATCTGTGGAAAGTCAAAATCCATGGATTATTGACTCAGGTGCTTCTGATCACATGTCTGGTAATGCCTCTTTGTTCTCTTCTCTCTCATTTCCTAAAACTCTTCATCTCATAACCTTAGCCAACAGATCTAAAGTAGCATCTAAAGGAACTGGTCAAGTCTCCATTTCTCCATCTTTAAACTTAAAATCTGTTCTTTTTGTTCCTTCATGTCCCTTCAGTCTCATTTCCCTAAGTCAATTAACCAAATTATTGAATTGTTCAGTAACCTTTAATGCCAACTCTTTTGTTATACAGGAACGTGGTACGAGTCAACAGATTGGCGAAGGACATGAATCTGGAGGCTTATACTACCTTGAGACTAAATCATCTGTATCTTGTGTTGCATCCTTGTCTCCAAAACTATTACACGAACGTTTAGGGCACCCTCACTTATCAAGATTAAAAAAAATGGTTCCTGAACTTCAGACTCTTCAAGATTTTGAATGTGAATCATGTCAACTAGGGAAACATACTAGGTCCTCTTTTCCTAAACGTTCTGAATCTAGATGTGACTCTATCTTTTCTCTTGTTCATTTTGATATTTGGGGTCCTAGTCGTGTCTCATCCTTTAGCTATAGATATTTTGTTACCTTCATTGATGAGTTTTCTAGGTGTACTTGGATTTATCTAATGAAAGACCGTTTTGAATTATTACCTATCTTTAAGTCTTTCCTTAACGAAATCAAAAATCAATTTGGAAAAGTAATCAAAGTTTTACGAAGTGATAATGCCAAAGAATACTTTTCTACTGATTTCTCCACTCTCTTAAGCTCTCAAGGCATTTTACACCAGTCTACTTGTCCTCACACACCACAACAAAATGGTACAGTAGAACGAAAAAATAGACATTTGGTTGAAACTGCTCGTACCTTATTACTTTGTGGAAATATGCCCGTTCATCATTGGGAAGATGCTATTCTTACTGCATGTTTTCTCATTAACAGAATGTCATCTTCTTCTCTTAACAATAAAGTTCCACACTCTATTCTATTGCCAAAGGACCCACTCTTTTATGTTTCTCCTCGTGTATTTGGTTGTGTATGTTTTGTTCATAATATGTTTCCAGGTTTAGATAAACTATCAGCTAGAGCCATCAAATGTGTCTTCTTGGGATATTCTCGTCTTCAAAAAGGATATCGATGTTATTCTCCTGAAACCAAGAGTTACTACATGTCTGCTAATGTCACTTTTTTTTAGTCAACTCCTTTCTTCCCTTCTTCTATGCAGGATATTAGTTCGGTCCAAAATGTCCTACCTATACCCTTAGTGGAGCCATTTGTACCTCCTCCTCCTGACACCCAAAATTCCACACAAAATACACCTGAATCCTCATCACTGCCTCTTATTACCTATCAACACAGGAGCCAAATGATCAATCTCATGTCCCAAGATGAGTCTTCCTCAACAGATCCTTCTCAATCATCCCCCGATACCACGATTCCTGATAATGATGACTCAAGTTGGCCCATTGTCATTCGCAAAGGTACTCGCTCTACTCGTAATCCACATCCCATTTACAATTTTCTTATCTACCATAGATTGTCTCCTTCCTATTTTTCTTTTGTTTCTTCTGTATCCACTATTACTATTCAAAAAAATGTGAAAGAGGCACTTGATCATCCTGGATGGCGACAAGCCATGATTGATGAAATGCAGGCTCTTGAGCACAATGGTACATGGAACTTAATTCCTCTTCCACATGGGAAGAAGACTGTTGGTTGTCGTTGGGTCTATGCCATTAAAGTTGGACCAAAAGGTGAAGTTGATCGACTCAAAGCTAGATTAGTAGCAAAAGGCTACACTCAGATCTATGGCATTGACTACAGTGATACTTTTTCTCCTGTGGCCAAAATGACTACTGTTCGACTTTTCTTTGCTATGGCAACTATCCGTCATTAGCCTCTTCATCAGTTAGATATCAAGAATGCGTTCTTGCATGGTGATCTTGAGGAGGAAATTTATATGGAGCAACCTCCTGGTTTTGTTGCTCAGGGGGAGTCTAGTTTGGTTTGTAAGTTACATCGTTCTCTCTATGGTCTCAAACAATCTCCACGTGCTTGGTTTGGAAAGTTTAGTCATATTGTTCAAAGTTTTGGATTAAAACGAAGTGAAACAGATCATTTTGTTTTTTATTATATTGCTTCAGGAAAATGTGTTTATTTAATTATATATGTAGATGATATAGTCATTACAGGGGATAATGTTGATAAAATTTCTCTGCTAAAGAAACATTTATGCAATCACTTCCAAACTAAGGATCTTGGTTGTCTCAAATACTTTCTAGGAATTGAAGTGGCTCAATCAAAAGAAGGCATCATAGTTTCCCAAAGAAAGTATGTTTTAGATATCCTGAAAGAAACAGGCATGATTGATTGTAGACCAGTAAACAACCCTATGGATCCAAATCAGAAATTAGTGGCGGATCAGGGTGAACCGCTCTCTGATCCTGAGAGATATAGAAGACTTGTTGGAAAACTCATTTATCTCACCATTACCAGACCTGACCTATCTTTTGCCGTTGGAGTTGTGAGTCAATTTATGCAAAATCCGTGTACTGATCATTGGAATGCTGTCGTTCACATCCTAAAATATCTCAAAAAAGCTCCAGGACAAGGTCTGTTGTATGAAGATAAAGGGGGTACCCAAATATCTGGGTATTGTGATGCTAATTGGGCTGGATCCCCTATGGACAGATGCTCCACTACAGGATATTTTGTTCTCATTGGAGGCAATATTATTTCTTGGAAAAGTAAGAAACAAAATGTAGTGGCCCGGTCTAGTGCTAAAGCTGAATATAGAGCAATGACATCTCTCACTTGTGAATTAGTGTGGGTGAAACAATTCCTTCAAGAACTGAAATTTTGTGAGATCCAACAGATGAAGATGTATTGTGACAATCAAGCAGCTCTCCACATTGCCTCTAATCCGGTGTTCCATGAAATGACCAAACATATAGAACTTGATTGTCATTTTATTCGTGAAAAATTGTTGTCTAAAGAAATTTGTACTGAATTTGTCGGGTCCAATGATCAACTTGCAGATGTGTTGACAAAGTCTTTAAGAGGACCTCGAATTGAATTTATTTGTTCCAAGCTTGGCACATATAATTTGTATGCTCCGGTTTGAGGGGGAGTGTTAGAATTATTATTAGTTAGTGGTTAGTGGTTAGTAGTTAGTAGTTGGTGATTGGTGGTTGTTAGTAGTTGGTGGTTATTGTTTTAAATGTTGTAATCCTTATAGGAGATCATAGAGTGGAGTAATGCATCCCACTAAATTAGAAATCTTCTTTTCACTCTCTTTACTCTCTTAACTGTATAACAGCATGGATGGTTTTCTGTGATGTTTATCTTCAAAACATAAACTTATTATGGATAGTGTAAAACTAATATAATGAGTGTATCCTTGGTGTACGCAGTTTTATTTAGTTAAAACAATGTGGCATTTTCTTGTTTTGCAGCTTGACTTTCCTGCTCAATTGCCTTGTCTTCTTCACATAGCAATGTGTTCTGCTCTCTGCAATGAATCAACCCTGCAGTATAATCCTGATAAAGGGAATTATGAAAAAATTGGTGAGTCAACTGAAGTGGCACTACGTGTCTTGACAGAAAAGGTCAGTATTTGAACCTCTCCTTGTGTCTCCTATGTTTGAATCTCCATCATTACTTCAGTATACTTATCATTCCTTATTTGTAGGTTGGTCTCCCTGGCTACAATTCTATGCCATCAGCCTTGAATATGTTGACTAAGCATGACCGTGCTTCATACTGTAACCATTATTGGGAGGAACAATTTAGAAAGGTGAGATTTAGCAAGTTTCTCACCTCTATTTTCCATGTATCTTTATCCATTAACATATTTTAGGAAACTTGGATGTTAAAAATTACAGTAGGTTTTTTGAAATTTTTTTGGTGCCTATTGATCAGAATACACTATTATACAGTAGAGGTTTTTCGTTTAAAGAAAAGGTAACAGAAAAATGCTAATAAAAACTACAAGTTATAAACCATATATTGAGAGGGTACAAGTAATCTGGACATTAAAAATACAGGAGAGGTTTACATTTAAAGAAAAGGAACCAATAAATGCTATCAAAAAACTATGTTCAAACAATGAATTGAGACGTTAGAATTAATCTTGACACAAAATATAACAAACTTAGCAATATTAGGATGATGTAGCCATAAACCAAGGGTGAGACAGCCACTTCATCCATCATAAGAAATTTGATGAATATATCTGCAATTGATTATTTTGTAGGTATTGGGCTAAGTGTTTTTTACTTTCACATTTGATGCTTTGCAGATACAAGTTTTGGAATTTTCTCGAGATCGGAAAATGATGAGTGTGCTTTGCAGCCGAAACCAGATGCATGTTTTGTTCTCAAAAGGTGCCCCGGAAAGTATAGTATCTAGATGTACAACCATTCTGTGCAACGATGATGGTTCCATTGTGCCTCTTTCCGCTGATGTTCGAGCAGAGCTGGACACAAGGTTTCACAGGTTTAAATTTTATCATTTATAATTTGATCTTTATGTACATATTTCATAATTTGATCTTTATGTACATATTTCATAATTTGATCTCTAGATTTTCACTTCCTTCCTGATTATTATTCAAAATGGGAAAAAACATTAGAAAAACTGAAAAAAGATGAGTGAGTCATGACAAGGTACAAGGTCATAATTTCCTGTCTATTAGCAGTAACGATACCTACATACCTACCAAGTGCCATACCTTCTTGCTGCTAGGCCTGGGAAAGTAATGATAAAAAATAAAATATTTAAAGATTTTTCATTGATGATGGCCCACCCAATGCCAACCACAGCCACTGGCCTATCAGCTCGAGGGCAATTTGTTTAACTTGCCTTTTCTGAAAATGAAAAGTTAGTTGAAGGGTCAACATTAGATTTAAGAAAATAATTTTAACCATTCACATTTGGTTTATAAATTCTAATTGCTCTCACTAGATATATTACACCCTATATTAACAATCCTATATAAAACCAAATTGAAAATGAGTTTTTGAATATTTTATCGTGCATAAAGTTCAATTTTATATTTGTGGTGACAATTTGATTTGACAGTCTGTTGTCTTATCTAACTAGTTAAATGGTCAAGTTTAGGTTGCATTGGCCCTGGGTTTTTCTACATATGGGACTAACGTGCTAAGAAAAAGTCAAGGCCGGTGCAGTTTAAAAAATTGGTGATAAAATTAGCAGCAGAAGAATAGTGATAAAATAGGTCACAAAAGATGGTACTGCTCTTATACCATGTTGAAAGAGACAAAATTAGATGGAAGATCTACTAAAAATTGTGTGTCGACTATATTAAGAGATTCCAATTTGATAAATATATGATATGCCTATAAATCATATTCTAATAAATTTGATTATAATCAGATATTTCGTATAAAGAGATCTTAATTAAATAAGGAAACAGATCAAAGTAAAAGAAGAATAAATCCTATGATATCTTCTAAGATACTCTACAATTTTCTAAGATAACATCTTCAGATATTTCTAACAATATTACGTCTCTGAAAATTCTGTTGTTTTTAGTTGTCTTTGAAAATAATGTGTCTTTTGTTGTTTCTCTTCTGTTCATTTTCTTTCAGTTTTAGACTGTCTTTTGAACTCCCTTTTTTTTCTGTTGACACTTGACATAAAATGTGTTGGCCAGTTTTGCAGAAAAAGAAACATTAAGATGCCTTGCTTTGGCCCTTAAATGGATGCCCTCAGGTCAACAGTCATTGTCCTCTGATGATGAGAAGAATCTTACATTTATTGGGTTGGTATGCTTTCTTTTCAATGTACAATATATGGTTTAACAGTTAGATTAATGAAACTTGTAGACTTTGTTCAATAAATTATTGATATCAAGTTCCAATGCAGGACGGTCTAGGAAAAAGGTTTATTTTTTAAATGAAATTAGTATAATGAAATGATATTACTTTCTTAATTAGTGCAAAAATTACTTAATTTTGCTTATATTTGAGTTTGGAGGGAGTACTTTTTTTGTCTTTGTTCTACTTTTCCAATTTTCATGTTCTTCCTACAGTAAGTAATAACTTTTTCTTGTGTTCCTTCTCTCCCCTTATGTAGGTTGGGATACTGGATCCTCCGAGAGATGAAGTAAGAAATGCAATGCTTTCGTGTATGACTGCTGGTATACGCGTCATAGTTGTCACTGGTGATAACAAGGTTTCAAACTAACTTTTTTTTTATCCTTTCAACATTCAATACGTCTTGTCTAATATTACTTAATCCTGAACGAATCAGTCCACTGCTGAGTCACTTTGCCGCAAGATAGGTGCTTTTGACCAATTGATAGATTTTGCTGAACATTCTTACACGGCTTCTGAGTTTGAAGAACTTCCACCACTGCAACAAACTATAGCATTGCAACGTATGGCACTTTTCACTAGGTATATTGGTTTATATCTATTCTCTAATATTTGATTTTGTTAGATGATTGCAGAATAAAACAACAATTTGTGTCTTTTTTCAACCTTTTTGACATAAAAATCCGTAGTGAAAGTGCATGTGTTGTTTAACTTATGTTAGGGTTGAGCCTTCTCATAAAAGAATGCTGGTTGAGGCATTACAGCACCAGAATGAAGTGGTATGATTGCTTCCTTGATCATAACATTAACTGTAATTACTAACTAGTAATGTTTTCTCCTTGTGATTTTTTGTTTTCTTGAGTTCTTATCTCCTAGGTCACTTTAATCCCATGTTCTTGTCATAATTAGATAACTTTTGTGTTTATCTGCATATAGTTGTATGGCACATTATTCAGTGGCTGGATTGTGAGGATTAGATTTTTAGATGAATCCTCCTCATTATTCTTTTATACTTGTAGTTTTGATTGAGGATAGTGTTAAGCCAGATTCAAAAATGGAATAGCTGATCTTAAATGCAGCTCTGTACCAAAGATAGCATAAATCGTAACTTAAAGACGCAAGCATCACTAATATGAAGCATAATTAACAAGTCAGTGACAAGAGTAGCACAACCAAATCACTGCTTGAGGCTTGATCTGGTGCCAGAAACACACTGCATGAGGCTGGAACAGGTCAGAGCCAGGCTAGGAAATCACTGGCCTGGGAGGAAATTGAAACGAAATGATAAGAAAAGGCATGTGAAATGTTTCCAGTGGAGGGATGGAAGTGAAGTGCTGACCGAGGAGCGTATGGAGGTGTGAAGTGTAAAACAGTGGGTGAAAACACTGCTTGCTTGAAAAACACTTAGCTGCCATAAACTGGTCTTTTTGTCACAGAAACAAGTGAGCTGTCGGAATTTTGAAGGGAGAGGAGGACATCAATGCTTCTAATACAAAAAGGATGGGAAATCACAGTAATATCGATAGAATAGTGGGTGAGATAACGCAAGGTTAGGCAAATTTGGATCTTTGATCCTGTACCCACAGCATACCTGACACCATAATTACTGCTTGTGATATACAAAAGAACACGATGGAACATCATGACACTCGTGCTTGAGGTGCCATTCATGCTACCAACACCTTACATCTGTCTTATACATAGCAAACACTTAACAATTGGAGTCCTCTTAAAAATTGTCAGTTTGGACTGATCTCAAATACTGAGGCAACTCTTCCTTACAGTTACTTGAAGGACACTGGTACTGGTATTCTAAAGATAAAATTTGGTTTTTAAGCATTAAAAAGAGTCAGCTTAAAATATAATATAAAATTTCACTTTTAAAAGAGAAAAATACAAAGAAAAGATAAAATAAAAATAATTTATGCATGAGCTAATTTGTAAGAACTATCTGATATTAGCTTCTCTAAAAGATTATTTTAAACTTGTATATAAGCTAATTTTAGCTTATGGAAAAGTTCATTTCATCTATTCTTTTTATCTTCTTTTCCTAGATTTCCTTAAGATTTCATCTTTTCTTTTTATCTTCTTTTCCTAGATTTCCTTAAGGAAAAACTTACCGAAACAAACCCATTCGTTGTATTGGATTGTCTGCGTTGGTATGTTCAATAAAGTTTATTAGTGCTATGCAACTGCACTAGGGACCTGATAAAGCACTATTTTACTGCTCTAAACCCTCTATATTGTAATTTATTGTAACATTATAATCATGGACTTGATTCTTTATGCAAGCATTCAAAAATTTCTTTCAAACTTGGGGAAATTACAATTTAATAATTTAGGTTGCAATGACGGGTGATGGAGTTAATGATGCACCTGCACTGAAGAAGGCAGATATAGGAATTGCTATGGGTTCAGGAACAGCTGTGGCTAAGGTGTCATCATCTTTGTATACTTTTATCCTTTATTTTTTTCTTGACTATTCAATAATCAATAATCCTAAACATCTTGTTGTTTTTCTCCCCTCTTTGATTACAGAGTGCTTCAGACATGGTTCTGGCCGATGACAACTTTGCCTCTATTGTTGCGGTATGATAGCATGTCAATTTCTACTACATTGTTTCTTCTTATTATTTTCATTCCCTCTTGAATTGAAAACAATTTTCCCCATGTAATTTATTATTTGTTTCTGTAGGCTGTGGCAGAGGGAAGGGCTATATACAATAATACAAAACAATTTATTCGCTACATGATTTCTTCCAATATTGGCGAAGTAGTCTGTATATTTGTGGCTGCAGTGCTTGGAATACCGGACACCCTTGCCCCTGTGAGTTATACAATATTTTTTGTTCATGATCTCAATACGCACTTTCTATTTTCTTCTGCATTTTGTACATTATTTAAACATGTAAAGTTCAAGATTTTTCATCGATCATGTCTCCTATGCCCCTGGATACTGGCTTGTAGCCAGTAATTGGTCACTAGTGTGCTTTCATATGATCAGAGTGTCTTTTCAGTGGTAATTGCACAAAAATGAGATTTTCATTTTTGTTCCAGTGAAGACTATACATTGAAATTTTTCATTTTAATCACCTAACTTCTACCAGGTCCAGTTGCTTTGGGTCAATTTGGTTACTGACGGATTGCCTGCCACTGCTATTGGCTTCAATAAACAAGATTCTGATGTTATGAGGGTTAAGCCTAGAAAGGTACCATACCAAAAATTCATTGGTTGACTTCTATTTGATTATAAATTCAAGAATCAAGACCATACATTGGACTCCATTTGCTATTTTGAGTTGAAAACAATGGCAAAGTCCCACAAAACGTTGACTTTACTATGGCAAACTTTTTCATCAACATTCATATATCGTGTCTGGGAGAGTCAACTGGAATTGTTCAGAGTGTATAGTGGGAAACATTTTCTGTTTTTACGCTAAAAAAAGGATGGGGTAAATGGTTAGAATTTTTTACATGTTTAAGTCACTCTCAAATGAAAGAATTAAGAAAAAATAAACTAGCGTGAAAAATAACTGTCATTTGATTCTTCTTTTACCCATTCCATTGCAAACCTTTCCCCAAAGGGATATCAAATTTGGCCTGACATGTATGGAGAGGAATAGGCTCCATCTGTCTCAAAGTATTCCACGTTTGAAGAACTTCCATATAATGGTGGGTTCTCCACAAAATCATTTTTAGCAATCCCACCAAAATACAGCCCTATGGTTTTTGTTAAGGATCCAACATAAAACCAATTGACAATATGTGGAATAGCTTAACATGTATTTAAACCATACCAAATGACATTATGCAGGCGATGTGGGACTTTCAATACGTCCTCTCCAACAAAGTCCGTCGGACAAGGCAAAAAGGGTACTTTTGACCTATAACGAAAGGCCAACTCTTGGCCCAAAACAATAACCGGAAATATGTTAGGCTTTGGCTCTGATACCACGTTAAGGTTCCAACATAAAACCAATTGATAATATATGGAGTAGCCTAATATGTATTTAAACCATACCAAATGACATGAGACAGGCGATGTGAGACTTTCAATAATTTTCTTATTAATTCTAAGGATGAAGCCGGGATTAGATTGGTTATAATTGTATATAAGGGATGGAAATAGAAAAATTAAATCAAGTTATTATGAATAGACTTTTGTAACAATGAACATATGATTATTCTTACTGCTGATGTAGGAATGGAAAAACTTATTATGCTTTTTACATAGTCAACCTAAATAGTAAGTTTTGTTTTACTATAGATAATTTATAATAGTTTTTTAACAAAAAGGTTAGAGAGATCTTTGAAGATGGGGTTAATTATTACAATTAAGTTCAAATCAGCAATCCAGGATTTTGAAATTCCACATCGACCAGAGATATGACCAACTTATAATATATATACAAATCTCACCTTACAAACCAGTTTTGTAAAGTTGAGTTAAGCATCTCTCCATTTATATTATGGTATATGCTATAAGACAAAGCAAACTCTAGAGATGTTGGAACATTGTACCAATACATTAACTATTATTGGAATGTACCACCTATTATTTGACCGATGTTGGATCACTCATATCCTTGACGTGAGGGGATGTGCTAAAATCTCCCTCGATGTGAGGAGTGTGTTGAAAGTTTCTCCGATGTGAGGAAGTGTATTAAAATCACACACTAGAGATATAACAAACTTATAATTTATAATTGAGATACAAACCTCACTTTACAATTCAATTTTGCAAGATTGAATTAGGCATCACTCCATTTCTAATATGGTATTAGAGATCTCACATGAACTAGAAATATGGTCAACTTATAATATATAATTAGTGTGCAAACCTCACCTTACAACCTGGTTTTGTAGGATTGAGTTAGGCACCTCTTCATTTCTCATATAGTATCAAAACCTATCCTAGAGAGATTTGTTGGCCTACCACTCCATCTGATTAATGTTGTTGGATCATCCTTTAATACTCAGTTCTATGCTCTCAAGACGTTTATAACTAACTTATAATATATATAATTGCGATGCAAATTTCATATTTCAAGTCAATTTTGTTAGGTTGAATTAAGTACCTGACTATTTCTTAACATAGACAAAGGAATTAACCTCAAGGGAGCATTTAATTTCCAAATTGGCTTATTTAAAGGGAGATATTCATTATTGTGATGAAGTAGTTCACCTTGTAGTATTCTTCAAAACGGCCTTTTTAAAGGGGTGCCATTAAGATCTTTTATAGACTGTTGTGCAGTGTTACATGTTTCATGCTCTTTGTTTTCCTATTTTTCCTTTTACTGTATTAATTTTGAGAATATCTATTACATATGTAATTCCTGAAATATTTTTTTTATCGGAAAAACAAAAAGGCAATGACTAAAATATGGGCTTTTAGTTCTTGTTTAGTGGCTAAAATAGTAGTTTCTCAAAAAAGATTTAGAAATTGTTGTATCACGAAACCACACTTTTTAAAGCATTTCAGACAAAGCTATATTTGTTGACTGAAATCAATTTCAATCATTTATACACATTGCACTTTACCAAAATAGCTTATTAATAGGTTTATTATTCAAAATAAATAAATAAATGACCATTCCCAATCACCCTCTTGTTATCTTACTTTTATTTTTCTTTCAATATACAGGTGAATGAAGCCGTTGTAACAGGTTGGCTCTTCTTTCGCTATTTAGTAATAGGAGGTAACCATAAATCTCAGTCCGATCTTTATTTCTATCAGCGTTGCTTCTTTGATTTTGCCAACAAGATTTCTTCTTTATTAAGGATTAAGATTGCTTTTTATGTTTTTATTATATATAGTTACATATGGTATTTTGTCATAGACAAGAGAGGGGTATTGCCAACCCCTTGTGACTGTAGGTAAATACAAAAGGTTCTTGTTACCATTACCAATGATGTAATTAGATACACCAGAGTAAAGGACATAAGGATCCTAGTAGGACAATTGAAAAAAGACCAACAAAGAAAACAGTTCAATATGCACAAAGGAGATCTTGGAATCAAAGAGACTAACGTTCAAACCACTTTAGAAAGTGTCTGCATAGTTATATAAGTCTTAGGTTTAACTAGAGGAAAGGACTCGGATTGCTCAAACCATTCTTAAGGATCTCCATAAGTTGCTAGAGATGTAGGTTTATCGGTTTAGGTATGACTAAGTCTAGGCAACCGTGATTGTCAACTGTTTGGCCGACATGCTAAATCTGTCACAAGAGAACAGAATTTCTCAAATGAATATGTGAGTACACCGATTGATAAACTAATTAAATATAATACTAAAGACAAACCATACATAATAATTTATACATTTGGCAATGCATATAACACATTTGTTTATTAATAACCAAGACATTATTGTTGGAATAATATGTTTATGCTAAATGACACTCATATCTATTAAAATTTTAAAATAGACATTCACCTCCCTTACATTTTTAATAAAATGAAATTCACATCCCTCTAGTTTTTAAAAATACATTTCTTTTATGTTTTTAATAAATGGCACTCACCTCCCTTATATTTCTAATAAAGTGAAACTCAATTCCCTTATTTTAAAATATCATTTTGACTAAAACTAAAATAAAAAGTAAAGTATATTTATTTTAAATAAAATAAGGAATGTTAACATAATTTACATGAGGGAGGTAGAGGTCTATGTAAAATTTATAGACTTTAAGTGTCATTTTATTTAAAATATAAGTTTTTATTTTAAAACTAGAGGGGATAGAAGTATCATTTAGTATAAGTTTCTAATACTTCCTCGTTTCTCTGCTCATAAAATGCAAATAACGCACTAGCCTAATTACACACCCTACTATTAGATATAATCCTAACTCAAACCGTATCAATTTTTTTATGGATCAATGTCACAAAAAATGGCCAAATTGCTTAGTAGTGGCCCTGGGTCCTTTTGACAAAGTCATACCAACAGAAATTCAATCTCATTTTCCACATTGCCTAGCTTTTTGGTTCTGTAACAAAATAGAGGAAATTAGGCAAATATTAAAACCACGTAATATATGCGTGAAAATTTACAAAATTTCACCTTAATTAATATGATAGATGAGTGTTTGTTACCTCCTCACACATGGGGTTTGCATGCCCCTAGCGTAGAACTTGATCAAGGATATAGGGTGAACAAGTTAAAAGGGTGATTAACCTGCCAGTGAAATAAATGATGCTAATATTTTTGCAGTGGATGGAAGAACAGCAAACCGAGTGGAAACTTGGTGCGGAGCCTCATATTTTTCCAGAGGACAGTGAATCTGCCAAGTATGCATAGGTTTTGCTTCCCTTTAGGATCTAGATACAAAGCTGAGAAATAATAGATACCTATAGTTAGGATATTGGAGTTTGAGAGTCAAAGATAGTTAGTTTGTAGAACAATTAGAGAATTAGTTAGTTTGAGGTTGGGATAATTGTAGAAATGAGACATGTTGCCTATAAATTAAAAAAAAAAAAAAGGATTTTGAGGGAGATTGTATCTTGCTATTTCAGATGGAACTCATTGTGATCGAAGAATCCAGTCCTCTCGAAAGTCCTGGGAATCATCATACTCTTTCTGTTAAAGTAGCTTTTTTTTTCTATAATTCTGAGCCGGTTCCTACAGAGTGGGAAACAAAATGAAAGAATATATCCGAAATCGTGTATCTCAACTAGGCCAAGGACTCTGTTTATATAAAGAATTAAGTATAAAGTTATATTTTCCCAGTTAGTCTGGGTCTGTTTGTTTAAACACTTCTTAGAAAAAAATGTGTTTTTTTTAATAAAGTAATCACTTATTATGATTTTCAACATGTTTGGATAAACTTCTTTAAAAAGCAGAATCATAAAAAAAAAAAAAAAAAGGTTTTCTTACTTGTTTGAGATATAAAGCAAATGTAGTAGAAGAAAGAAAACTTTTACCAGAATTTTATATTAAAGTCACGCAAAAATAAATTATATTTTAACAATCACTTATTTTTTAAATATAAACAAACAGACCCTATAGCTATACAAAACTCTTAACCAAAGCATCACATAATATAAAAGCTTCAAACATGTATTGCAACTAGCCATTTACTCTTTCGAAGATTTTTGGATAATAGATGCATGGTCGTAATGCTGTTTATCTTGCTTCCACTTTTTGTGTGGTTGTATGATGTTAATCTTGTTTTGATGCAGCTTATGTTGGCCTTGCTACTGTTGCTGGTTTTATTTGGTGGTTTGTTTATTCTGATAGTGGCCCTAAACTTCCATACACAGAACTGGTAAGATATTATCATGTCCTCATCTGTGGTCTGTGCCTTTCTTTGAACATCTTATATACTCAGAATGATAACACCTGAGGAAATTTGAGGGCTATAAGCAGTTATGTATGGAATTTACTGAAAAATTCCAAATTTCCGCAACTACATTCAAGAGTTAATGATTAAACAATAAGAAGTGAAAATGGATATAAACAAAAAGGATATTGTTTATTAAACTTCAATTGGGATTTACATCTTTCCACATAATACGATACTTTTGTATAGAAAGAGAAATTTTAGGGAGATAAGAGGGAAAGTGCAACTACATGAAGGATAAGATACACACACACAATAGAAAAATGAAATAAAAATAAATAAAGGAATTAGGGAGGCTGCTGCTGAGTCCCTTTCCATATCAGGAATGGAAACCCCCTTCAAACAGCTATAAGATCAATGAGGAGCCATTCACATGATCATCTGTAAGCGAGACACCTTTCAAATTGAAAAACATTTGTTTCATTTAGAAAAGAGTTAAAAATCATTGCTTAAACCCACTACAATATTTGCTATCAAACCACATACCGTGTGAACATGAGTTTAATTGTTTTGTTAATTTTCTGCTTCAGTCCCATAAAATACATTTTTTCCATGTACGTACTAATCATGTTTTGTGCTTATTATGGTATAAATATTTCTTTTTCTTCGTAATTAATAAATATATTTAAGATATTCCTTGTTTGAAGTATTCTCTTCTTCCAGATGAACTTTGATACTTGCCCAACCAGGGAGACAACTTATCCATGCAGTATATTTGATGATCGACATCCATCTACTGTATCAATGACTGTGCTTGTCGTAGTTGAGATGTTCAATGCTTTGAACAATCTTAGTGAAAACCAATCTCTTCTGTAAGTAACTTTACACAATTAATTTGACTTAACTATAAGATTTTTGGTCCTTCTTGGTTCCTGCATATTAATGGGAGGAGATTAGGATGACATCTTTAAATATAAAATCTTTCACCTGCTTTCACCCATCAGCTTAAGCTTTTGGGACGGTAGGTTCATCAGTGTCACTAAACCTGAAGGAAGCATATATTATCTGGGTGATATTGGTAAAATGATAAATTGGGCATGATACCCCCTACATTGGACCACATTGAGAGAATTGATGGAAATTCTGTTACTGTAAGTGAGACATAAAACACAACATGACAGACAATGAAACATGGGGAATGCCCAAAATATATATATATAACATTGGTAAAAATCTCAATTAAGAACTAAAGTTTATTATAATTCCCAATATAAAAAACAAATTTGCTAAATTTTACAGTTTTCATATAATAACTGGTCTCACAATAAAATTCTAAGAAACATATCTCTTAATAATTTAAATAACTAATTAAGTACTATGGAAACGAACTTCAAATATTTTGAGTCATGCATTATTTATCATATAAGTTGTTGTTTTTTTAATTCCTTTTTACTTTCATAGTGCCTAGGACGTGTTAGTTAAGAATAGGTGTTTGAGCTGAAAAAATGTTATCCTGGTGTAAATCTTTTTAGGAAGGAAACTTGCATTTGGTTAATTCTACTTTATTCTGTTTTTGTCAAGGACTTGTGTGCATGAACTACAAAGTTTGAACATTGTATTTTTATTTTACCATGGGCAGATTTGCATGGTGTGTTCTACAAACAATAGGAATTGTGTCTCCTATTGTTGAATTATAATTGAGAAATGAAAGAGCAACTATTGCCGTAACAATTTTTTAATTGATGTGAAAATATTTGTTTGTCTGTTTCAGAGTTATCCCTCCATGGAGTAACATGTGGCTTGTTGCTTCTATAATTCTAACCATGCTTCTTCACATACTAATCTTATATGTTCACCCACTATCGGTTCTTTTCTCTGTAAGTATTTTTAAAAGCAGTGATTTTCTGAAGTTACAACCAGCCTGTTTATCCTGTTCATAAACCATCAGATTTAGTTTATTATTGTTTGTTATGACAGGTAACACCATTATCATGGGCTGACTGGATAGTCGTCCTCTATCTTTCATTACCTGTATGTAGTTTTCTTAAACCTCCGAATTTCATTATTCATTTTTATTGTCGAGGATCTTTCCAGAGATGATGGCGAATCCTACTACACATTCATTTGTCCTATCCTTTGTTTTCGTATGCAGGTTATAGTCATTGATGAAGTGTTGAAATTCTTCTCCAGAAATCCCATTGGTAATCTTTATTCCATCTTATTAAGTTTTTCAGCTCAATCTGTGATACCTTGTTTCTGTGTGAGGGTAGCTAATGTTCAACATGACCGTAGTAGGATTAGTAGTCTCATTTTCAGGTTGAAATTAAAAGTCATCATAGAAAAATATCAGTAGGTCCCATTTTTATAATGTTTTTGTCATGGGGTCTATAATAAAGTGATGTAACCAACAGGCACACGCACAAACTCACCCACATAAATTTTCCATGTAGCTGATGTTGATAACTTTTGCCTACGGTTTTAGGTTTGAGATTCAGGTTATGGTTCAGGAGGTCTGATTTACTTCCAAAAAAAGAATTACATGACAAGTAAGATGTGGAGTAATATTCAGCACTTCTCAAATTATATAGCTTCAGTGGCATCTTTGATTGAATGTAAATCATCAATCTCCATGTGCATGGCAATCGAGCAGTTAAACCAGGTAACTCAAGATATTGTATAATAATTGTGTTATCTGTAATATTTATATTGTCCGTAAAATTTAAGCGATGTAAAACAGTAAATGTAGAAGCCTGTAGGATTGTCATGATCTTCAATTATTTTATTTTTCTTCACAATCTGTATTTAATCAATTTTGGTAGCATAAATACCTAAAAGGGCACGCATTATGCCTTCGGACAAAGTTGTACATTGTCCCGTGTATCGTTAAAAGAGAGATGTAGAGATTTATGTTTAACATGCTGCGGAGAAGTAAAGGAAAAAAAAAATCTTTTCAGTTCTCGTTCTTCGCTTATATTTTTAATTGCGTTGATCAGGTTCATTTTTTCACGTTAATAACCCGCAACTATTTATGAGATTGTCATAAATGGAAAATATATGTGATGCCACTCGTAAATATAGACATGGTATTCAAAAATTAATTTCCATTGCAATTTCCTGAAGCTATAATTGGTGTGTTCGACAACGAGTGTTAAGAATCTGTATCTAGGTTAATATACAAACCTTTTACTGTATTTTGTATTTAACTAGGTTATATATACTAGTTTTATTATTATGGTAACTGACTGTTAGTTGGTAAATATGTATGATGTCAATAGCTAATACTTAAAATTAAAAAAAAAAAAAAAAAAAGATAAAATACATCTAACCTTTTTATAAATTAAAATAAACTTTATACACCGTGAAATTAATTGAAAGATTTTTGTAGAAGGGCCTAAATTAATTTAGCATGTTTAAGAAGTTCATTCATTTTTTTATTTTTTTTATTTTATTTTTTTTTTTTCCTTTCTTTCTCTTACAATACTCTATAAGTTAATTATCAATGCTTTTAAAGTTTAACGGTTTATTCCACCTTGACTATCATATGAGATCGACCTATGCTTTTTAGTCTGTACGAGGGAGTATTATTTACCCCTATATTCCTCCCATCAGTAAATTAATTTGTAATTTGCTATGTTCTTAATTCATTTTAGAAATTTATTTTACATTATTTTTACAATATAACATACATGAACTATAATAAGAAGATTAATTTTATTTATGAGAACAGTGACAGATCTTCTTAAGAATTAGAAACTGTGGTCCTTTCAAACATGTAATTTATAATTTTGACCTTCCAAATTTTAATATATTTACTTGTATATTTATAATTTTATCCTCTCAATTTCACAGTTTTGTAACTTGCATATAATTTATGATTTTATCCCCAAATTTATATATTTACTTATACATTTATAATTTTATCCTCTTACCTTTTTATTTTATTTCATTCTTTTATATTTATTTATTATTTTTTAATAATATATTCTTTTACCCCTAAAATCAATAATCAAGATATGTCACTATATGAGAGTATATTATTTAATCACTTTTTTCTCTAATCTCCTTTTCTTAATCTATTTTTTTGTCTTTTTTTTTCTTCTCACGTTTTTCTAATGATTTATCGAAAAAAAATCTTATAACCAAAAATAAAACTCTAATCCTTTTTATTAACTAATATCCATCAAATTAATTATCATAAATTTTTCTCTTTATTTTATTCTAATTTTACATACTAATTTTACATAATAATAAATAGGTATTTGTATTTTAACAAATCACATTTCGACTCATTATTCTATTAATTGGCATCCTAGGCCTTCTGCGCTGAGCCGGGTATTCTTAAAGAGGCCTATTTGATATCCATCTCCTAAACATGCCTAAACATTCTTCAGGTTTGTACTCCGGAGCTGTATGCCCTGCACCCTGTATGTAAACCCCCCTGGTTATAATTATACTATTATAATATACTTAATTACTTAGACTATTGTTTCCTGAACTGAAACACTGCTTACCTTCACAGTTGCAAATGTCATCCCATTTGAGTATGTCCTCGTGTATCTATCAGCATTTTAGTAAACAAAATGAGGTTAATCCAGCTTTTCAGATAAATCCAACACAAAATGAGGTTAGATAACAATTTATCACAAAAATTTGTAAAAACTAAAATCAACATTTAAAACAATTAAATAAAAGATTTATATAAAGAATAAGTACATAGATCGATTTTAGTTTTTCCTTTTTAAGTTTAATTTATTTTATCTTTTTATTTCATTTTTTTCATAAGAAAATGAAACAGAACATAGTCTTGTATCACTTTCCAGTTGGGCATACCCTACTACTTGGCCATTGTAATACCACTGCCTCCAGTCAGACACGATGGAATAGTTTAAAGCTCTTATCCACGCTTGAGTAGACAAAAATGGAACTATCATGTCATGATCCCCACTAATAACAGACAAAAACAATATTTGAACACTAAAAATGTTAGTTGATATCTAGTTAGAGAGACAACAGAAAGAAAAGTAACCACTTAATGAATAGGATACATTTAGCAAGAAATTAATCTTGACCTGTATATTAATGAACGGTAGCCTTTTCTGCTGAGATTTACGTGATATTGGAAGCTGCTAGGGACATCAAACTTAAAAGGTATGCCAGAGTTACACCGCTTCCATTTCCCTATACTTCCCTGCATCACCACCATATATATAGACTATAGTCAGGTTCTGCTAACATTTTAAACAAAAATACGCACATAAAGCTTTGTGCATCTCCATCATTTCTCTCTTTCCTCTCATGTTCCAAAAGTTAAATATCTAAATTATCATTCCCATAATTTTATTTTTTACCCTAATTTCTTTACAATTTCTTTGCCTCCATCCCTCAGCACCTTCACTCCTTAACTATTTGATATTTTTATATTATCATATTTATTGAAAGTATTTTTTAATAATTAAAAGTGATTAATAATATGTATGAATTACATGTTCTATACTCAAATTATATAAACAGATCTAAATTATTCAATTTGAAACAGTGTCACAAAAATGAGGTTTAATTTTAGAAAAGTCGATCCAAAAATATATTCCAGATTTTTAAAAAGATGAATCCAAAAATACATTCTGGCTTAGGTGTTATGGAAATCTGAATCTGAAAATATATTTTAAATTTGGTATTTCGAAAAAATCAATTCAGAAATGCATTCTAAATTTGGTAGTCTGAATACCAATGGAAGATGAAAATGAAGAGAAACGTAAGCATAAGGGTTTAATTTAATTATGGGTTTAATTTAATTATGGAAGTGCATAATGCAGAAAGAAAGAGCAATCGTATGTATATATATACCTTCCGAATATGCAGTGCTTTGTGAACATTATCATCGTTGGCCCAATAGGTACACAGAACATATGCACGAGCCTGCGCAAGAATGTGCATGTTTTATAATTAAATGCTTTTAAGTGATAAGCGGTATCATAGATATATTTATTAAATAATTGTATTCTTAAAATTTGAGAAATTGTTATTTAAAATCGTTTTAAATAAAATTTCAACTTTATTTATCAGATATGGTGAAAGAACAAGTATTGCACAAGCAGCAATTATAGATATAAAACAATATAAAGAAAAAGGAAATAAACCTCCTTGTTCAAGGTATTTTATTGAACGAGTAATGATCCTCACCCTTAAAAAGAAAGAAATTAATTGATAGATATGATAGAAAATTAAGGCTATGATTAATTTAGTTTTAGTTTTTAGTTTTTAAAAATAGTTTTAAAGATAATTTTGAACATTTTTTTTGTTACAAAAAAAAGTTTTTTTTTATAATTTTATTTTTTTAAATTATTTTAAACAAAAGAGAAAAACATAAATTATCACCACAAAATTATAATGAAATTTAAAAAAAATTGATAATTTAATGGTAATTGAAAACAGCAAATAAAATAAAATAAAATAAAACTTTTTTTTCAATTTTAGGTTTTATTTAAAAAAATAAAATTAAAAATATATTAAAAAAAAAACTTTAACAAACTAGTTATTAAACAAGTTTTTAAATTTTTAAAAATTAAAAATTAAAAAATATATATAAAAATAGTAATTGTTAACAAGAATGAGATGAAAGGGACATGCAATATAAATTTGTGTACGTATTTTCCTTTTTGTAATTGTAATTGTACTTAAGCAGGGGTTGTTCATAGTTACCTAAAGTAGTTCCTTGCCCACAATATAAATAGGTATGAAAATTTACCCTACAACTTAAGGGTGGCAATGTGAGAGGAGAGGTTTCATGAGCAAGAGACCTCCTCCAACTCCAAGTGTCTTCCATCGGTTTATGCAGACCAGGCTCCTCACAATAGGGTTCCAAAACATGCCCAGTATTAATTCCTGAAATAGACTGAGGAAAAGCAACAATCCATTACTAGCTTCCTTATTCTCATTCTGGTTATCCCAATCCATTTATTTAAAAGAACTCCATGACGTTGTCTTTTGTTTCAAGAACAAGAAAAGAAGGTTAATTACTTGTCCTTGAAAGTACAATTCCTACGTATGACTAACCTCCTTGTAGGATTGCATGTCTCTTACACAAAATGTGTGTGTTGGGTCTACCTTCTGATACTCTCCTCTACAATTCTTTTGGAGTGACTGTTTACTCAGTAAATTATTCAAACTGGTCAGCATTTCACCATTTGGACTCGAAAAATAAACAAAGAACAATTGCCACACTAATTTGTAAAAACTGAATCACCTCGTAGAGTTCATCGGAAACGAATGCCATTCCATGATTAAACGGTATTTCGTAGTTTTTTTCAGCTGATGTTGTTGAGGGATTTCCCAGCAGGTATCCCTGAAAAAAAAAAAGGTTCCTATTATAATCAATGTGCTAAATTAATAAAAGTAGAATTTTATTTTGTCATGGTTCGTTTATATTTAAAATGCACAAACCTGGAGATTTATCCATGGTTGGATACCACCTTCGTTTCCTGAGAGTAATGCAATACAGGGTAAAAATGAAGTGTTAATTGTCAGATGTCAATGTCACAACCATTGAAGAGGAAATTAGGTGCTATTTAAGCTTAGTTTCAACTTTGGCACACAATATATTTGACCCTTTAGTTAGTACGATACCGTATGAAATTTCTTGAACAATAACTGGTATAGGAAGGCCACTGTATGAGTCGCCAGCAATGTACACCTCATTTGAGAGAAATTTCGGATGATCAATCAGCCACTGCACACATTTCAGCATCACTGTCACAAATCACTCCACTTAACTGATGTTCATGTGCCAAACTGGAACTGGAGAAAAGTTAAGTTGTTCTAACTTTTTAAAATTAGTAAATTTAGTCTTCCATTTACTTTTTTTCTGCACATGCAACTATTTATAGAAGTAGAAATACACTGGAAAGTTTATCAAATTAGAAAAGTTTTATACAAAAATGAGATCTATTAAAGTTAAAAAGGAAAACTAAAAACCAGAGACACTCCAAATTAGAAAAATGAGAATGCAATTATGGCAATGAAAATTTAAGATGGGTGTAGTGTACCTTCCTAAGAAATTGATGAGCATGGCGAACTAGCTTGGTGGTACTTTGATGAACATCACTTTCTGTTTTGGGATAAGAGAAGCCTGTACCCGCTGGCAGATCCACAAATATAATGCTACTTACCTGACCAACAAATCTTTAAACAGTATAATTGTGCTTATATTATTTGGATGAAAAGTTATACCAATGACAAAAGAAAATTGTAGAGGATTAACTACAAAAAAAAAAAAATCAGTGTTATTAATTAATATTCTCAACCTTTGTCCATGATTCTGGCTTCAAAGTCAAATTAGGTAAGCCACCAGTGTATTCCTCGTTTTTAAATGCCAGTGGACCTGCAACCCCTGAGTAATTAATTAAATAATATACTAGCATCCAAAATTATAAAACTCGTTTAAAAATAAAAAAATTATTTTAATGCGTGATCTGAAACTGTTTAAAGTTAATAGAAAATTATTTTATAAATAATATTTTTTTTATTTTAAACACTCGTATACCTGAAATTTTATTCATAAAAAATAAACCATTCCTTTAAATTATTTATAGCATGTTTGTCACGTTAAGAGAGTTACTGGCAACAGAAGTTACATATTTTTTCCGAAGTTTCAGATCACAATGTTCATGGTTTTCGCCCGATCTTTTTATGCATCATATGATACAACTTTAAATTTATGAAAAAATTATATTTAATTTTCAACTAATTAGTAATTTCTTCGTGCAAGATTCAAAGAAATTGTGACATGTTTCCATTAAAATAATCAATAATCAAGGATATAAAGAGTTGTTAAAAAAATAGTCTAATCCTATAGGCGATCTCATTGGTAGAACCGATTTAACCTTGACATTAAAAAAAAAATCAATCCAGTTCTATGAGTTAAACGAGTCAAGTTAAATAATAATAATAACAAAATCAGAAGAAGAACTATTTTGTTCGATATTATTATCTATTTTTAAAATTTTATAAATATAGATTAAAAAATAAACAGATGATGAAATATAAAAGACCGTGAAAAAGTTGGATCATGATTTACAGGCATTGGAAAAGTACGTGGAATTGAAATGTGACGATTATGAGAAGAAAATGATTACCTATTTCAAAAACTAGGCCTGAAAAAGCAGAGCAACCTGGGCCCCCGGTTAGCCAGAGAAGGAGAGGGTCTCCTTCAGGATCATTCTCGGACTCAATAAAGTAGTAGAAGAGTTCTGCATGCTCCTCTGCATCACTTTCACCCACTTCCACGTACCTGACGCCAATTCCCAACCACAATATATTTCACGCCATGCGTTTATTCCAAATTTTGAATGAATAATTGAAGGCCATTACTTAAATCGAGTGTTGAAGTTGGCTTACCCAGTTCGAAGTTGAAAAGGAAGGGGTCCCTGGAAACCAGGAAGGAAGCGCACTGTGGAGTGAGATGTTGCAAGCTTCGATGAAACGAGGAAGAGAATTAGGAGAAGTAGAAGCTCTGTGCTGTGAATTAGCGCCATAGAGAGATAGCGAGAACTTCTCAACAATGAGAGACGTTTCGTATCCCACGTTGCTTTTCTACATCCGGCCCCAGCACTTACGTCCGGAGTTCAATTTCATATCTCACTAAAACAGAGGCGGGTTCACCTATGCTATTTATGAGGCTCACTTTTTTTTTAATCATTATTTTTGTTTAAAATGTTTTTGATACTTAAATACATTTTATGAGTCTATTTAGATTATATATTATTATTATTATTATTATTAAACATAAATACTATTTTCATAATATTTAATAGCTTAAAATATAAATTATTATATCTTTAGTCAAGATTTATTGAAACTATTTTTTTTACAAAGTCGATTAAAATTTTTAGCTAACGATCACACTAACTTCTTTTGAATAATATAAATTAAGTTTATTTTCCATTAAAGTCGGTCACAATTATTTTTATTAAAAAAATATGAAGAATTATGATTTTTTTATATGAAATTTGAAAAATTATATTTTAGATAGGACTATCAAAATAAAACTAATCTAATCGCCCGACATGACCAAATGTAGGTTTGATCAGAAAAGAAAATCGCAATGTAAATTAAATCAAATCATTTATAATTTGATATGTTTTGATGTTTAAATAGACTGATATTTAGGTTTATAATTGAATTTACAAACTGATAATTATTTTTTTAATATTATTTGATTAAATTTAAAAGCTGGAATATTAAAATTATTCATAATTTAAACAGATGAAACTAAAATGAAATGAGAAAAAAAAAAATCAAAGATACGACTATGAAATTATCAAAGTTAGTTTGGATTAACAGGTTGATGTAGCCATGTTCATCAATTAAAAAGTTTGGTGAAATCTTGAAATATATTTTGAATTGGTTTACTCAAGACAAAAAACACAAATAATTGGTCAGATATTATTGTTTCGGAAATTATATAGAAGAGTTAAGACCATTGACTTGTGAGTTGTCCTTGTCCCAGTAATAAGTATTACTTCAATTTCTTAACCCCTTACTTGAATTGGATAGATTTAAGAGTATGATTCACCCCTATCCATCAAGTGGAATTAATTCATATTAAAAACTTATCCCGTTATTAAAGGACTTAAATTAATTGGCCCTTTAAAGCATCCCTATCCAAATTAATTTTCCGTGTTATCTTCTCCTTCTAACTATATTTAAGTTTTAATCATTTAAAAAAAAAAATCACTCATGTTCTTGACACAGTTTATTCTTGTTTTAAAAAAACTACAATTATGTAAAATAATATAGTATTTGTGTTTATTTTATCTGAATCAATTAAAATAATATATTATCAAAAACTAGGATTATTCTTGTAAAAATAATATATTGATTGTTATTTAAATATGCGTAAAAAAAAAGTTTAAACTAAATATTATATGTAATGGAGAGATGACAAATTATTCCAAGGTACACTTTTTCGTCATTATTGTTATGTTTCATTCTAAATTGTCTTCTTCCTTGGTGGGTACTATCTTCCATTAACGACACATATTAATAACAAAAAATCTCTTTAGCCGTCTATTACCACTTACTTACCCCAAATCTAAAACCATGTAAGATATATAAACAGTTTAAAATTAGTACCCCCAACAACAAAATTCATTGTTAACTAAAAAAATGCTTCGATTTGTAACACTTTTGTTAAATGTTAGGTGAGAGTATAAACTTTTTTAACCATGTATAGAAATGAGATAAAACTATGTAACAATTACTAAAGAGATATTTGAAGATGATAAAGTAAAAAGTCACTTTACACAAAACCGTTCCTTTCAATCACCCAGAACGAAAAACCAAATCAGAAGAAATTCCGATGAAACCTAACCCCAATCAAATGACCAGAATGTATTAAGCAATTATCTCTATCTCGAGAAGAATCCATGGCAATCAACACCTATCTTAATTTCAGAACGCGTTGAAGAAAATTACTTTAGATCCGACAGTGTACACACTTCACAATACAGCACTTGTCTTTCCAACCGCATAGCTTCTACTTCTGGGATAAGGTTTGGGCACGGCGGGAACATCTCCTTCAGACAAATCATAAGGAGTGTCCTCGTCGATGCGGCCCATGCCGACGCTCGTGGACTTGGGAAGCCCATTAGACGAAACGGGTCGGGTCTGGGCCTGAGCCTGGGCCTGCTGTTTCAGAACCAAATCCACGTCGATTCTGTTTACCAAAGTCCGGGCAGAAGCCGCTCTGAGAAGCTCCGCGAAATCCTCGTTATCGGAGCGTGACGTGGCAACACTGTAGCTCCTGGGAAGAGCCTCGAATCTGCCAGCAGCGTCAACAGGGTTGCTGTAATTCATGTTGTGACCGCACTTTGTTATGCTTCTCACGTACGCATCCTTCGCTTTACCCAAAACTCTGAATGGCGTCGTTATGATCCACACCAACTTGCTCTGTTTACCCTTCCCCATAATTTTCAAAACTACTTACACGATCTTCAAAAATCACACAACTCTTCTACGGTTTTTGGGGTTTAGAAGGGGAATTATGATTTTTGTAGTGGTGATTGTTGAGAGACAAAGGGTGTTAAAGAAAGAATGGAAGGAAGGTGGGTATGAAACTGTGAATAGCGCACGGACTTTTTCAGAGCACACCGTATCAGAAAACATAAAGATAAGAACAAAGGCGTGGAAGTTGGAACGTGTTAGCCTAAATTCTCATTTTTATAATCATAATGAAGTTGTTCAATTATTACGAAAGTATAAGTTTTTTTTTTTTCTTTTTCTTCTCATAATAGTAAAAGGTGGCTTCGCTTCTATTCGAAGGACCGCTACCATTTTCAATTCTCGACACCATATTTTGACTTGTTTTATACTATAAAAACAACGAGCGCGTAAAACGTAAAATATATAATTTTGAGGGGAAAAAAAAAAGAGAGGGAGAAAATGGTTTAATTGAATAGTGTGAATGGTGGTTATAAATGGTTTAATTACGATTATATTCTTAATTAAACTTTCGTAATAATTGTCGTGATTTGTACAATGATATTATTTCGGTATATATATATATATATATATATATATATATATATATATATATATATATATATATATATTTTCGTATGTCTAAAATTTTAAATCAAATAACATCTCTTACATAAAAATTAATCTTAATATAGAAACATAAAATTGAAATATTCTTATTTTACCGTAGAATCGATTGCTTATGAAATATAATAATAAAAAAAATTCCACTTCAACTGGTTGTTTAGTAAAATGACGTTCGTTTAAACTAATAATAATTACAAAAAATGATTTAGTAAATAAATATATAACAAATTAGACCAGGTCTGATGAGGAAGGAGAAGAAAAGTATTCTGAACTATACATTCGTGCTTTTCATACAAGAGAGACTGCAAATACAGACAACAATATTGTTTCCCACGAGAATTTTAACATTTGACCATGTGCAGTGAAAAACAAAAAGAAAGCAGAGATAGAAAAGCGACGTGTGGCGGAAGAGAGTGTGGTGACACGTGGATGAGTAAATGGTGGCGAAATAAATACATTATTAATAGTGTTGACAATTACAGTTATGTGGTTACAGATAGGAAGGGAAAAAAATATTCAGAGCTAGAAACAAGACTGTCTTGTCTGACAATTTTTATGTTCGCCTTTTATATAAAAAAAAAAATATATATATATATATATATATATATGTTAGAATTATATTTTGAGATTAAAAAATGCTTGATTATAATTGTATTTTCTGAAATTTACTAATCTTATTTTATTTTATTTTAAATTTGTTTTAGTGCTTAAATTTTTTAATAAATTATAAATAATAAAATTAAAGGATTAAAATCATTTTTAAATTTAGTATTTGAGACCTAAAATCATATCTACTTAAAAATTATTTATTTTAAACTCTAGAGGCTAAAAATATAATGAAACTAAGGTTATGTATGACTTTTATTAAAATATGCGTGAAATTTTATGATTAAATTTTTTTATCACTATCAATAATAGTACAAATCCGTTATTTTTACTTTATTTTGTTTTTGAATATAAATATTATAATATAATATTCAATAATAATAAAAATACACAATAAGATATTATAAAAAGTAAAGTAAATGTAATTTAAAAATTAAAATTATAAGAATTTTTAAAAATAAAACTGAATACAAAAATAATATTTATATAAAACTATCAAGTAAATATGTCTACTTTTTATTTCTATACTTTTATAACTTACTTTAGTTAAAAATTCCACAAAACACTCACTCACAAGTTAGAAGGTTAATCTAATAACTCCAAAGTAGCTTTCAAACTTTCAACTGTAACTAAATACAGTCTTAATTATTTTATTTTATTCATAATCTCTGTTTGATAAAAAAAATTATATTTAATTTAAAATTTAATTTATATGATTTCAAAACAAAATAAGAAAAATGAATAATACAGTGGATATAAATTTCATTTATTATAAATATATCAAAAAAAGTTAATATTTTTTTAACACTGATGATAAAGTGTGTAAAACAATAATTTAGTAATAAGATGTAATAAAATATATGAAAATTAAACGATGATATTCAAAGGTGTAGTAGAATGGAGGCTTGACTCTACACGAAGAAAGAAAATCCTCCCTTGATAATAATAACAAATTTTGTTATTCAAATGCTCACTACATTCCAACTAAGAATTAAACTTAAATACAAGATTGATAACACTAAGAAAATAGATTTTTATATCATTTAATAAATATACTAATATAATTTTAATATTTTTTATATTTTAAAGCTAATCACATTCACTTGATAAATAAGATTTGATGAAAATATTATATACAAATACTAGTAATTTAAAATGATTATTATTGGAATCAAATTATATATTTATTAAATGTTGACTAAATTAATATAGATAATAAAAAATTATTATTATTATATATTGTATATCCAAAAATATATACTATATTAACCAAAGTGAGAATGCGCAGAGAATAAAGGATTTGATACAAACACTTACACTATTAAAAATAGGAGTGGATTTCATCATTTATCATGAAATGTCATTTCCTCTTATTTGGAAGAATCTTCCAGAATCTGTTGGGTAGCAGATGGAAAAAATAAATAAAAACAAAGAAAGGAAAGTATATCTCAACCACATTCAACGAAAATTATTATTTAATTAGAATTTAATTTTTGTATAATCATAAAGCTATTTTTAAATAATTAAAATATTTTTTACTTATTTATAAAAATTAAATATAAATATTATAATAAAAATAATATTTTTTTTATTATCAAAATAAAAATTATTACTTTCCGCTCATTTCATCACTTTTTTCATTCTATACTTTTCGCAATCTTAAAGTTCATCAATTATATGTTATTGATGCTATTGGAATCAATACAATAATTCTTAACTTTCAAAATGTTTAACTTTAATATTTTTTTACAAAATTATGCTATTTATAAGATTTCATGTAACTTTAAAACTAAATCATATAAGAATTATTTTTATGAGTTTCTTCACAAATATGTATAAAAAAGTATAATATAAGAAAAAAGTAAATGAATTTGTTAATAAATTAAAATAAATTTATGAACAAATTAAATTAAATATATTTTAATTTATTCACATGAAAAGATCTTTAGAAACTAAAAAAAAAGTGGATAAATTTATTTTAATTTATGAAACAGAAAGCCTTCTTTTTTAAAATGTTTTTAAATATTTTGGTTTGGCATGTTATAATAAATAAATAATTTTCAAGTGATTTATTAATATGTTAAAATGAATTACATACCTTATTATCTTACAAATAAACTGTATAGTTAACCATCATTGAAGACATTTTTATAAAGTAAAAAAAAAAAAAAAACCGTGTCGTGACAATAATTTGTGCTGAAAAAATAATTTGACCAATACTACTTTAAACCAGAAGCTATTAGAATATAAAATTTTAAAGAACAACAATAAAAAAAGAAGAAGAAGTAAAAATAGAACAAAATATACAGAAAGTAATGGTAGAAAAAGAAAAATATTTATGAGTTCTCTTATCATGCAAATAAAATTTACTCTAAAAACAAATATAAATTTTGTTAAATAAATTTAAAATAATATGAAATAACTATAAAATGATCTTAAATAATATATAATTAAATTTTAATTATTATAAATAAATATTTAAATAACAATTACGATTATAAGAATATAATAAATAATGACGAATAAATTATAAAAAAAATATGAAACAACAATGAATAATGATTATATAAAATGATTATATAAAAGATGATGATAGAGGATGCACACAGAAAAACGAGGACGTTTAGATATAACGATGACCTGATGAAGGGTGAGAGGACATAATAAAAAATATGACAAAAGATATAAAAAAAGTTACAAGACAACTCAACGAATAATGCAACGAGATCATGATAGATAATATAATATAAATTACAATAACATAATAGAAAATACAATAACAAAACAAAATATACAAAGAAAATGTAATGAAGGTTGTGACGGTGATAAAGTGGAGGATAACATGAAAATACCATAGAAAATATGGGGAAGGTGTAATGGAAAACATAATTATGATTAGGATACAATGAGAATTAAAAGTGCGATAACGTACAAGGATAAAATTATTTTAAGAAAAAAATGTTTAGATTTTAGAGAATAAAAGAGTTGAAGAATAATTATTTGATAAAAAAAAAGTTCCTCAAAATTATAGAGGGTTTTTAACATCGATTATGATTAAATTATAATACATCCCATATAAAATCTTTTTCCAAAAATTCAAATTTATCTTTCTTTTGCTAATAGTTCTAATGCCTATACTGATATTTTTTATTTGCTACATATAGACATATGGGACCTTTATCTGTTCCTTCAATTTTTTGTCATAGATATTTTTTAACCATAGTAGAAAATACTACTAGATATACTTGAATTTATCTCATGAAACAGAAAAGTGAAACCCCATCTTTCATTCAATCTTTTGTTGCTCAAATTGAAACACAGTTTAACAATAAACATTAGTGCAAAAAAGGGCTTTTACGTCAGGTATTTAGGACTTTTCACGTCGTATTTAAAATTGACGTTAAAACGGGAGACGTAAATTTACGTCAGACCCTTTAGCCCGACGTAAATTTACGTCAGTTATCAAGACTCGACGTAATTTTGCGTTGCATATACCACTAAACAAACGTAAAAACTTTCAGAAATTAAAAAAAAAAAAACAGCAAATTTACGTCGCATATGGTATATGTGACGTAAATTTACGTCGCATATGGTATATGTGACGTAAATTTACGTCGCATATACCAATACGCGACGTAAATTTACGTCGCATATTGGTATATGCGACGTAAATTTGCTGTTTTTTTTTTAATTGGGTTGATTCTGTTTTACAACTAAAACCTGCAAATATATATTACAACCAGACAGTTCGTAGGTTCAATTTTCTTTAGCTAGTAATATAATGATGAATAAATATAATGTTATTTTCAAAATTTAAATACAAACAATAATTATGGTATTCACTTATTATAATAAGTTTCTAATCTTAGGATAAATGAACTGCAAAGTCTTTGTTCCGGGTTTTCCACTTAGAACATTAGTTATAGACACGATTCTAAATGAAAAAAAGTCATATATTATTCAATACCTTTTCCATTTTCACTACCAAATTTCAAAAATTCATCAACTCCCTTTTCGTACTCTTCACTAATACGACGTGCATTCATCCAAGTTCGATTCATATTATGTTATAAAGTTTCGTCACTCCTAGATATTCAAAATCTATATTTAAAAATAAATTAATATACAAATAATAAAGCACGTATATGGAGTGTGTAAACCGAAAATGCACTCAAACAAAATAATGACATTCCAATAACAATCCAGTGGAGACATTCATACAATGACGTGATTTAGATCCCCAAAAACAATCACGGATTCAATTTGAACATATATCAGGAGACATAGAACACTAACCTCGAGTAAACACGAAAACGATTTCAAACTCGAATCCAATCGGGGAGAAATGTCAAATTCGTAAAATGAGACACAATGTTGATGTTCTTCAGTCAATATAATTAGAACAAATAATGGTAAGGAGTTTAATATGTATGAATGGTTTAAACATAAAGGTATTTTACATCAAAACTCTTATGTTGAAACTCCACAGTAAAATGGTATAGTAGAGAGAAAACATCAACACATTTTAGGAACTACCAGAACTCTTATATTTCAATCTGGAATTCCTAAATCTTTTTGGAATCATGTTGTTTTTCTTATCAATAGGATGCCTACTAAGTTCTTACAAAACAAATCTCCTTATCAAGTCTTATACGATGACAAACTACCTGAGATTTTTGAATTAAAAGTTTTTGGATGTTTGTGTTTTTCTTTAACTATTCAATCTCACAAAACGAAACTTGATCAAAGAACTAAGAAATGTATTTTTCTAGGATATAAAACTGGCACAAAAGGTAATGTCCTTTATGATTTGAAAAATAGAGAAACTTTCATTTCTAGGGACGTTTTGTTCTATGAAGAAAATTTTCCCATGATAATCAACTGCAATAAAAAATCTAATGCAAATGTTTGTGTGTTCCCCTTGTTTAACAAAATTTTTCTCACTGATGATTCTTTTTCTTTTGAAAACCAAACACTTGATATTTCATATAATAACAACAACAACAACAATAATAATAATAATAATAATAATAATAATAATAAAAAAAAATTTGTTTGATAATCATCAATATGATATAGAACACCAACCACAACAAACTGAAAATACTGAAAATAATATTGTGAGGCAATCTCAAAGAGTGAGGCAATCTCAAAGAGTGAGACAATCACCTTCTTATTTGAAGGACTATCATTGCACATTGGCTACAACAGATGGCTCATCATATCATCCCACTGTCAGGTATCCTATTTCTTCTTCTATTTCCTATAATTCATTATCCTCTTCCCACAAACACTATTCCCTTGTTATTTCTTCTGTGCCTGGGCCAAAAACTTATAAGGAGGTTGTTCAACACGATTGTTGGAAGGATGCTATCAATGCTGAGTTACGGGCTTTGGATAAGAATCAAACTTGGGTTTTAACCTCTCTTCCTCCTGGAAAAAAGCTTATCAAATGCAAATGGGTTTTCAAAATTAAGCATAATGCAGATGGGTCAATTGAGAGGCATAAAGCCAGGCTTGTAGCAAAAGGTTTCACACAAATTGAAGGGGTTGATTTTCTGGAGACTTTCAGCCCTGTGGTGAAAATAACCACCATCAGAATACTACTTTCAATTGTCTCTGCTTCTAATTGGCATTTACATCAACTGGATGTAAATATTGCCTTCTTGCATGGGACACTTGATGAAGAAGTTTATATGGAACATCCACCAGGACTTACACCGCAGAACACGAATCTTGTTTGCAAGCTTACCAAGTCTATCTACGGTCTTAGACAAGCCAACAGACAATGGAATGTTAAACTTACTGAGGTTCTTCTTTCTTTAAACTACTCTCAATCCAAAGCTGATTACTCATTATTAAGCTGCTCTTCGGGTGTTGAAGTACATCAAGAATGCTCATGGAAAAGGATTATTGTTTCCTTCTATTTTAGATCTTAAACTACTTGTTTGGATTCTAGAAGATCCACTATTGGTTTTTGTTTCTTTCTATGACAGTCACTCATCTCTTGGAAAAGCAAGAAACAGTCAGTGGTTTCCAGATCTTCTTCAGAAACTGAATACAAAATTATGACTTTGGCCACTTGTGAGACTCAATGACTTGTTTATCTTCTGCAGGATTTTAGACTATCTTCCTCTTCTCCTGTTGTATTATTCTGTGATAATCAATCGGCAAGATATATCGCTGTCAATCCTGTCTTCCACGAACGTACCAAACATATAGATATTGATTATCACACTGTACGAGAAAAAGTCCAATAAGATTTTCTTCATCTCATGCCAATTGCCTTAAATGACCAAATTACCGATACTCTAATTAAACATCTAGCCTCTAGTCCCTTTGTTGTTCTCATGTCCAAGCTTGGAATGTATAATATATACATTCCATCTTGAGGGGACCGTTACAGTTTGTTAGTTAAGTTTTTTTTAGTTAATTTGTGAGGTTTTTATATTATGTTTATATCTTAGCTAATTATTTTTTATATATATAATATGTTGTTATATTCTTCATTGGTTCAATAATAAGAAGTATTTTCATACTTGGTGCACTTTTTACTCTCTTATTTCTACCATGAGTTTTAACATTTTTTTCTTTTTTTTACATTCGATGTTAAATAGTATTGATAAAAATTATTTTGATTATAATAAATTATTATATCACACAATTTTAATTCAAAGTTTTGATGCCACTCACAACAAAGTAAATTTCTAGAATGTTTGAATTCCAACTGTAAAATATCAAACAAACATTTTTAGTGATTAAAGTAGAGGATACTAAATCCTAAAAACGAAAAATATTTATAAAGCAATAATAATAAAAGTGGATAAAATTTACTTCATTTATATAGTTTTGATTACATTTATTTAATATTTTATTTTATTCTTTTTGTAATATTTATTTTGTAAAATAATTTTATATCAACTTTGACCAGATACTAGTATATGATTTACAATGTAATTTTATATAATATTTTTAAACATATAATTTTATCGTGGTTTAAATGTTTTATTTATTTTGCATAACACTAATTTCTCTTATATTTATGCACTTTTTTCCTTGCTTTGCGAAATCTAATAATTTGTATTTATTACATGTAATCAAAATCATTATATAAATCATGATTTAATTAAACACTTTGTATAAAATAATTTTTCCTTTATTTTATAAAATAATATCAATAAAACATGGAGTTTATGAGATAAAATTAAATGTTATTAATAACATAATATAGAGTTTATGGGATTCTCATATATTCTACACTTAATCATATAATTTTTATAAAGATAATCTTACAGTAATTAACTCAACTCCAGTAATTCCAACACCGTGATAATATGTGAATATCAAATTCACTTAATTTTTAATATTTTTGAAACCTTCTAAATACAGGAGATACACAAAAATCATCTAGGTCCTATTTGAGATAAATAACCCAGGTGACTCATAAAAATAATATTACAATAATATAAATTGAACATAATTAATAATTTTATTATAAAATAAATATTAGTTTAATTTAATATATATAGTATGATTATGAATTTAAATTTACATAATAATTATTGAATTTTCCATAAATTTACTAAGAATGAAAAAGGTCAAATTATATTATTTTATAATCTTATATCACATATTATTTTATGAATATCAATTCAACCATTGATGATTAAATAATCTATTAAATCTTAATGACCTATCATGTAAACCGCATACTTGGAGATCAAGTTTCATTTATCCTTTTTCAAAATAAATCCTATCTCAACCCCTTTGACAAGATATTCATAATTTCTTTCAAAGATTTTTGACACAGACTGTACTTTGTTATAAATATACCTCTAACCTTGCAGTCAAAAACTAAATAAAAACCTTCTAACCTCATAGCGGAACACCCGTACACAACACAACCTCCCAATCTGTGAACAATGTCAACACTGTCATCCAAACACTCGTTTACCAATCCCACAGCCGCCACTGTCGTGTTTCTTTTCTTCGCCGCCAAACTTTCAACGATTCTCGCCGGCAGCCCCCACGACATCAATTTCCGGTCACCGAATCTCTTCCCGGAAGGCCTAGCGTGGGATCCGACAGGGCAACACTTCCTTGTTGGATCTCTCCGCCACCGCACCATCTCCGAAGTCTCTGACGCCGGCGTGGTCCAAACCCTAATCTCCGACCCCTCCCTCCCGGAAAACGTCACCATCCTGGGCCTGGCAGTTGACTCCCTCAACAACCGCGTCCTGGCGGCGGTCCACGCCCAGGCCCCCATCCCTCCGTTGAACGCCCTTGCCGCCTACGACCTTCGGTCCGGCCACCGCCTCTTCCTTTCCGCCCTTCCCTCCGCCGAAGGAGACCACGAACGCGCCATCGCGAACGACGTGGCTGTGGACTTCAAAGGCAACGCGTACGTGACCAACTCGGCGGGAAACTACATCTGGAAGGTGAACGAGAAGGGAGAAGCCTCGATCTTTTCAAATTCCGCGAAGTTCACTGAACACCCTGGGATCATTGGAGAAATGTACAGCTCCTGCGGCCTAAACGGCGTTGTTTACAACGGCAAGGGTTATCTCCTGGTGGTGCAGAGCAACACGGGGAAGATGTTCAAGGTGGACGCGGACGACGGTATGGCTAGACTCGTCCTCCTGAACGAGGATCTCATGGCCGCGGACGGTGTAGCTTTGAGGAGCGACGACGTCGTTTTGGTAGTGTCGTCGAAGAGGGTGTGGATGGTGAAGAGTAACGATGGATGGAGCCAGGGTGTGGTGTTTGACAAAATTGACCTCGATGATGAGGGGTTTCCGACTTCGATTGTGGTGGGAGAGAGGGAGAGGGCTTACGTGCTGCATGGGCGCGTGATGGAGGGGATTTTGGGGAATTCGGCGGAGAGTTTTAAGATTGAGGAGGTGAGGTTTCCTAGGGAGAGCGAGGGGGAGAATGTTTGGATGTATGTGATGGTTGGAATTGGATTGGCTTATTTCTTGTTTTGGAGGTTTCAGATGAAGCAGCTTCTCAACAACATGAACAAGAAGATCAACTGAACCAAGTATTGTTTTACAAACTTTGTATTTTACACTCAACAAACAAGGTTATCTTTCACTGCATTGTTTAAGCAGGGGATGTAATTTTTTTAAGAATAGATTTCCAATTTGGCTTATTTAAAGAGAAAGATTAGTTTTTGTGATAGAGTAAATTCAAAGTGGTGTTCTGCAAAACACCTTCTTGTAAGGGGTGCCTGATAGATCTTCATATGTTGCTGTAAAAAAAAAATATGATTTCAGCTTTGTCTTGTTTGAACATATACACTCAAGTTTAAACAACCTTTGCTATTAAAAGGTTGTATGCTGCTAGGAAAGACATAATTTTCTTTGTCTGAGTAGCCTAAATCTACTTACTATTTTTTATTTGGCAGAATAACTCATTTTGCACCTCTGTTTAAGGTAGAAACTTTATGCTCTTTACATTGACTTTTCCTACTTGAAATAGTCAAATGGAGATCGATATTGTTCACCGTGATTTAGATTGTTTTGAGTTTGTGATTTTTAAGTGTCATTGTCAATGGACTCAAATAAAAGCCTGAGACTAGCAAAGGTATCACAAATTGATTAACAATTATAAGCTACTCAAGAGTTTTTCTATTCATCTCTGGCGATTGAAGGATCCACTAGGGACACTCCCAAGGTGTTGCTAGGCACAAAATGAACATTTCTTTACATAACTTCTAAAGAAGTGTTTTATAAATGGTATCAAATTCTTCAGTACTTTTTCTGTTTTGCACTCAACTTCTTTACAAACTTAAACAAAATCATGTGGTGAAAATGTATAACACATTAGGATATTGAAGCTTTGATTACAATGCTCATACTGCTATGCAACTATTATAGTATTTTTGGATGGTTGCAATGTATAACGTTATGCTTCTAATTACATTGATGCATTAATGAAGCGGAAAAGATGAACGACACGCATTGTTAAGGTGGGAAAAAATGTTTAAGCAGTTTTTAGCATGGAGACTTTTTACTTCAAGGCAAGCCCATCAAAAGCAACAAAAGTTGATAGTATGCACAATTTTAATTATCAAAATCAACCCTCAAATCTGAAAAACGTACTATCTTGCCTTCTATTTTTGTTAGAGGGTGCACATACATGATCAATTGTACTGTCATGACATGACAAATTATACTTTTAGTAAATTTCTTGATATTTTTAACTAACCTAAACTATCAGAAAATATATAAAGATTGTTAAGCTAATGAATTTGCAGTCTGATACGTTGTTCATCATGAAATAGAAAAATATGAAGGAGACATTTTTAATGGTTTATAATTTGATAGTCACACAATATCGTAAATTTGTTGAAAAAGGTGAAGTCAGTTTTGCTTTTGTTTACTGGTAAATGTGTACCAAAACACTCAAGTCATGCATTGTTGGTGGACATGTAAGTTCTTTGTCTTCTATCTTAACTTCCTGTATTCTTGTTTTTGCTATAGTAAGATGACCTTTTGTTTTCGGTGTTCTTCTCTCCCTGAATCCTCCAGTAGGTGAAGTGAGAAATGCAATGCTTTAAGTTGCTGTCATATTTATGAAACTTCAACTGGACTTTTTTATATAATAGAGTGATAAACTATGTATGAACTTGTTTATGCTTAATCGATCAGTTAATAAATTAGTTCAAATAATTTTGAAATAGTTCGTCTTATTTCTATTTTAAACCTTGTTTTGAAAGCAACGACCTCACATTTGGAAGCTTATGCTCTGTTCTTCTATCGCGTAATTCCCCTTCCATGCATGATTTCTCTTAAAAAAAAAAAAAATTAGAGTAAGTTTTTTTTTTATCGAAAATGAATTGCATTGACAAAAAAATTACGGAAATTTTTTTTATTCTGACCGGTGAACTTAATACAGAATAAAGTTAAACTGACAACTTATCAGCTTAAATTATTGGTGATTCGTTAAACGTGATGATATTTTGTAACATTGAACTTAGCCTCAAACTTTGGTCCTGGTTGTTTCAGAAGAACGACTTCTTTGGAGTGTTTATGTTCATGAATTTAGTTTCACTATGATTACATCCTTTTTGACAACCCTATAATAATAAGTGATAAAACAAGTGAAAACGTGGCACCTTGGCTGCCTAAATTCTTGAACATAAGTTTAAATTCAAAACAAACAAAAAATTAAAAGAAAAAATCTCCACCACATATTCTTTCCTCTTTGCAAATCACTTGATTCGCCTCTTCCATGATAATGCGCCGATAAAGAACACTAAAAACAAATCCCAGCAGAAGAAAGGGGTAGAGTAGGTATTTCAATCAATTATCCATACTGTTTGTGGTGAAGGTGAAGGAACAGGGCCGATGAAGAATGGGTTTGCGACAGTCACAGTGGTTGTTGTGATGGTGTCACTGGTTTGCACGTGTGGGGGAAGCACGAGCGGGAACCTACACCCTTTGATTCTAATACCTGGTAATGGAGGGAACCAGCTAGAAGGCAAGTTGAGCAGGGAGTACAAGCCCTCCAGTTTCATCTGCGAATCGTGGTACCCTCTTGTCAAGAAAAATAAAGGCTGGTTCAGACTTTGGTTTGATTCCAGTGTCATTCTTGCTCCTTTCACTCACTGCTTTGCCGAACGCATGACCCTTCACTACCACCCACAACTCGATGATTACTTCAACACCCCTGGAGTTCTCACTCGGGTCCCTCAATTTGGTTCCATCAATTCCCTTCTTTATCTCAACCCTCATCTCAAGTAAGTGCTGCATCATCCACTTGTTTTAACTCTTTCTCCCTAATTCACCTTTGTATTAGGCCCGACCTATTTGTTTATTCTATTAGACTAATACTAAAGCTTAAGAGTAACGAAGTAATCATTTTCACAAATAATTTTTTTCCCTCGCTAGTAAACACAGTAATATGTTGTATAAAACAAATGTTTTTTGGATCATTCGCTGTACTTCAGTTTTAAAAATTAATTTTTGAGACGGTGTGGATTAAGAAGATAATATAATTTATCACCAATTGATGAAGACAAATTTAATCCCTTGTTTTATATTGATAACTTGTATAAAATATTTTTCATTGATGAAGATTACCTTGTACATTGCATGAATAGGCATATTACCGAATACATGGCACCCCTTGTGGATTCATTACAAAAGCTTGGTTATGTTGATGGCGAGACTCTATTTGGAGCCCCCTATGACTTTCGATATGGTCTAGCCGCTGAAGGTCACCCCTCACAAGTGGGTTCCAAGTTCCTAAAAGACCTAAAGAACTTGATAGAAGAAGCATGCGCTTCCAACGATGGGAAGCCAGTGATACTTCTCTCCCACAGTTTAGGAGGCCTATTTGTCCTACAACTCCTGATTCGAAACCCCCCCTCTTGGCGTGAAAAATTCATCAAACACTTTATTGCTCTTTCAGCTCCATGGGGTGGTGCTATTGACGAAATGCTCACCTTTGCATCTGGCAACACTCTAGGAGTGCCCTTAGTGGACCCTTTGTTAGTGAGGGGTGAACAGAGAAGCTCCGAGAGTAACCTTTGGCTTTTGCCTAACCCCAAAATATTTGGTCCTCAAAAACCAATTGTGGTCACTCCAAATAAGACCTATTCCGCACATGACATGCTTGATTTTCTCAATGACATTGGCTTTCCCGAAGGGGTTTACCCTTATAAAACACGCATTGTACCCTTGATAGGGAACATTCAAGCGCCACACGTGCCTATAACTTGTATTATGGGATCAGGAATGAGAACCTTGGAAACTTTGTTTTATGAGAAAGGTGATTTTGACGAACGGCCAGAAATCTCATATGGGGATGGTGATGGAACAGTGAACTTGGAGAGCTTGTTGGCGCTTGAATCACTATGGAAAGAGGAGAAAAGTCAGTACCTTAAAGTGGTTAAGATAGATGGTGTATCCCATAGTTCAATACTCAAAGATGAAGTTGCTCTTAATGAAATTGTTGGGGAGATTAGTACAATTAATTCTCATGTTTTCGGGGTAAATAATGTTTGACCGACAAATAAAATACCCATTGTCTGCAAATTAATTTTTTGGGTGGGATTTATACTGCCTTGTTTCTCGTTGATACTACACTCCACCGGGAATTGTTTGAATTTACTTCTCAAAATTTATTCAGTTTGTAAAAGTAAAATAGACAACATGTTTGGATAATTATGTTCTGCATAAGTAGGTCTAAAATTGTTTTCAAACTAACGTTTGGAAACAAGAAAACAGAAATAGCTTGAGAATTGCCTTAGCATCTTTATTAAGTCAGCACTATATATATTGACAGCTAATTCATTGATAAGTTACATAAAAAGATAATTAACGCTGCTAAATGCATTTCATAATATATATGCTTAAAGGATAAACAAAGCCACGATTGAATTTGATCGCTTTCAATTGTCATCATATCTAATGATTTCATTTCTCTTTCTGATATAATGAGTATATTTTTTAGTCTGGAATGTAGTTGTATTTGTGAGATCCGATCATCTTTCATAACTTAAAACATAAAATCAGTAAGAATTATAACACTAGTGTCTTTGTCAACGATTAAGGTGTTGTAGGTCTTGTTGAGGGTCTACGTTTCGAATCTGTTGCAGTTTTTGTTTTTGTGATGAATAGGGTGGCATGTGGAAGACACAAGGAGACGAATAATCAAAAGAGAGAAAATACACTTGAGGGTGTATTCAAGTGTTATACCAATTAAATATATATTTAAATTATAGTATACAAGTAAAGTATAAATCTAATTTTCTTAATTTCTAACATGTATTAAAATCAATTAATATTTTGAATGTGATAATTAATTGTAAAGTGTGCCTCAAATGTGAGTGTGATGGATTTTCTTAATTTTTCCTCTACCTTGTCTAATAAATAAAAAAGTTAATATGTTGTTTTCACGTAAATTTATTTATCTTCAATATTTAGGTCTTTGATGACCTTTTTCTTAATATTACGGGGTGAGCAGAATAGTTTAGAAAAACTAAGAATAGGAATATGTATTTTCACCTTCACAATATTTAGATTTAAAATATTTAAAAATCAATTGATGAGTAAATATATATCTAAAATTTAATGATTTGATATATATATGGTGAAAATATATAAATAGATATCTTGTACTTATTTTTTATGTTGAAATATTTTCACCACGTTACTAGTAATACCTATATCATACCTTTCCATATTGATAAATAGATAGTATATTTTAACTTTTTTTTAATAAAGCATTTAAATTTCGTGTGCTTTTTTTTTAATTGCATTTCAACAGTTTTATTTTCAATTTCATATTTTTCTCCTCGCTTGGTCGTTTGGAGTTGTTGGTTTCAAAATTTTCAAAAATCACTAGTGTATCTTAGTTTAAAAACTAGTTTTAATTTTACTTTTAAAATTTCAAATTTCAAAATAAACAAAGTTTTGTATCGCGTTAAAATCAATTTAAAAATATATTGTTTATTGTAACTGTAATAATATAATGGATTAATATAAATATATTGAAAATATTTTTGAAATTTATAAAATTAATTTTAAAAGTTTTTAAAATATTATTTTATTAACTTTTATTTAAATTAGATATTAAATTATTTTTATTATAATTTAAAAAAAATATTAAATTATTATTTAATATAAGTAATTATAATTAAAATATTATTAATATTTTATATTTGATCATATTTTTATTTTACATATAAAATACACTAAATAGAGATATATATTTATAATCAAATACATATTTATAAAATATATTTTGTATATAAAAATATAAATACATAACAATTCTAAAACATTTGTAGGATTATATTTTAAAATACAAACTCTGCAATGAAAGAATGATGGCCTTACTTTTCAGCATTCCACTTGCTTTCAAAATTATTTTCAAGTTTTAATTTTATTTGGCATCTCTTTCCACTTTAATTTCAAGCATTTATTTTTGAAGACAATGACATTTTATTGTCAGAATTTAAGGGTATGACACTTTATGATTCAAGCAAGTACTTGGTTTACACTGTTTCTCTTTTCTTCAAGTTCAATTATTTTCAATTTTAACTGTATTTTATATTCTATAGCTGAAGAAGTATGTAATTCGAAGTTGAAGCGTGTAAAGTTGAATTTCTCCTCATGAGGTTGGGTTGAGTCGAGTTCACACATGGCAACAGAGCAGGATCTAGAAAAAGAAAGGGTTCGTACGACACACGAGACACCCCTTGGCCTCGGTTAAATGCCAGCTAAATATTTTGACTAGATTTACTTTTTTGTTTACAATTCATTCTTTGTCTGCAGGCATAGGCAACGCCAATGGCATCCCCTTTGCCCTTTCTGACACTGGTTTTGACCACTTTTGGTGGAAAGAGAAAGAGGAACATGCCCTCGTGCACTTGCTTAATTTTTTTTTTTTAGGCCACGGGTTTAGTGGACACGTGTCGTTCAAAACCAAATTCTCGTCAGTAACATTTTATAGTTTCATTAAAAATACTCGTTCAAAAACCTAAATCCAATTGCACTGTTTCAGATGTGACCATAAACACTAAAAGAATATAATAATGATATTTGACCGTCCAACTGGCTCCAAATAGCATTGTGTGACCACTCTTTTATGAAAGGAGCAATTAGCCCTCCCAAATGAGGGTAATATTGATTAAAATTTTGTAAAAATAATTAACAAGACTTGTTAAATAAAAAATAATAATAACCATAAAATTTCACTAATTTTAATTAATAATAAATAATGTTATTATTTGTCTAACTAATACTAGCACTTGTCAATATTAGTTATTTTAAGGACTCTAATATCAGATTTAAGAGTCAATAGTAATAAAATCACATCCTTATACTATTTTTTACTAGCCAATAAAAAAAATACCATCCAAATAATTATTTTTTTTATAAAGATTCAATTTATCAAATAGTTTCAACTTTAACAAATAAATAAAAAGTTAGAAGTTAAACACACCATTTCTAAAAACAATAAATCAATTAAGTAAAATTATTTTCTAAAAAGTATATATTTTGGGAACAGTAGGAGTAATTTAAAATTAGATTTGAATTTCTACATAAGTAAATAATTACTTAATGATACTGTTTTTTGAATAAATCATTAATTGATATAATTAAATTCAGCGAGAGGAAAAAGGAAACCTCAGCGAGACAAAAATAGAGATTAATTTTAAAACAAAAGGTGGTTTAGTTATACATCTCTTAAAGAGTTAAAAGTAAAATAAATTAATAATTTTAAAAATTAGATGATAACAATTTAAAAAAAATTATTCAGATTGATTGATGAACTAATTAAAAAGTTAAACAAAATGACTAACCATGTCCTGTTTTTTTTTATATATTTTTCATCTAGCATAATTTTTTTAGTTGTATTGTTTTAAAGTTTAAAACAGTTATAATTATGTTAAATTAATAAATAGAAGTTATAAAAAAGATAATAAAAATATACTTTTAATAAAATCAATAATATCTATTACAGTCATCAGTTAATTAATATTATATATAAGAAAGTTGTGACATATAAGAAAAAGGAAGTGAGGGATATTTAATCACTATTCTTGAATAGCAAACTTGAAATAAAAAATAGAGTAAAAAAAGAAAAGTTGGAAGGAAACTGTCTTGAGAGTTTGAACCAATTTGAGTTGAGTGGCAGAAACGACGTCGGTTAGCACACTCTTCAATAATTCTCGGTTGGTGGCATCTGGTTACCTTTTTGACTATCTGTCCGGGTCCCAGGTTGCGTCTTCAAGCTCAAGATTGTCCCTTATCTGTTCCACATCTCATGCATTGCATTCTATACACCACACACTCTCTCTCCATCTCTCTCTCTCTCTCTCTCTCTCTCCTACAGTGGCAGTATCAGATATTAATAAAAAGAAGTTCAAAAGAAACACACAGCACCACGCTCTGTCACTGACCTCAAAGTTAAAATTTCATATCACTCAATGCACTCGTGTGCTGCACCCTCGTTTAATAAAAGCCTCTTCAAGGTCATCCCCCCCTACCCAATCACTACTTCAAAAGGAAACAACCATTTTTGGATCTAATTTAACCCTCATTATTTTAACACATGATTTTTTTTTTATCCGCATAACATTATAATATAATTCCTTGTCAGATTTTCGCTCAAGGAAGGAAATGTGAAAAATAAAATGTAATTATAAAAAAATTCTCATTCTTTACTTAATGATTATCCATCTTGATTTTATATTTTTGTAATAAATTGTAACTGATAATAGAATATACATTAAAAAAAATGTAAAACAGTAAATTTGCTAGTGCAGTCTGAGAGAGGACACAGTTTTTTCTTCGTTCTTGGTTGTATTCTAAGGCTCTTTCAAGCATGTCTCTGTTGGTTCAACTATATATTTGTATGTTTGGGTACACTGAGGCGCAGTATTTGTTCTTGAAGCCCTGGATTGTGTAGACTTCATTTGTTCTTATCAAGCACTATTCTTTCTTGTCCTTTATTTTATTATATTTTATAATTATGGTCCGGGGTGGGTGATTTCCTACACTTTTTCGAGGCTTGAGGAGGAAGAGTGCCTCGGTATTGGCGATGAAAATTAAGACTCAATCATGTCGTTGATGATGAATAAGCGGAGCACTACTTTTTTGACCAAAGAAAGGCACCACAGTTAAAGAAAGGCATATTAAAAAAAAAAAAAAAAAAAAGCAAAGGGTGGGAAATAAAGTTGTCCCTTTGACAAGCACTTCTTAGCTCTCTCTCAACCTTTCTTTATTGCTCCCTCCCTCCTTTCCTCTCTCCCACACGCTTCTTCTTATCCTCATTCCCAATTTTCCCTTTCCTCAACTCCAATTCGCACCACATCTAGAAAATTCAACTGCACGTATGCAACAATGCCTCCGTACCAACAAGAGCTTGTAGTAGCAGCAAAAACAACAACCATGAAGGATGCTGATACTGCTAACGTTTTGGATCTGAAAACGTTAATTGAGGAGCTTGAATCATCGATTGAGGTTCCTTCCGTTTTTATCTGCCCAATCTCGCTGGAGCCAATGCAAGACCCCGTCACCCTTTGCACGGGACAAACCTACGACCGTTCCAACATTCTCAAATGGTTCTCCCTCGGCCACAACACCTGCCCCACAACAATGCAAGAGCTCTGGGACGATTCCGTCACGCCTAACACCACTCTCCACCACTTCATCCTCTCCTGGTTCTCGCAGAAGTACTTGGCCATGAAGAAGAAACTCGAGGACGTGCAAGGCACCGCCTTGGAGCTCTTGGACACGCTCAAAAGGGTCAAGGGTCAAAACAGAGTTCGCGCCCTCAAACAGCTTCGCAAACTCGTTGATTCCCACGTATCCACGAGGAAAACCGTTGAGGAAAACAACGGGCTTGTTTTGATTTCTTCCCTGTTGGGTCCTTTCACTTCGCACGCGGTTGGGTCGGAAGCAGTTGGGATTCTCGTGAATTTGGATTTGGGTTCGGACTTGAAGAGGAATCTCATGCAACCCGCGAAGGTTTCTTTGTTGGTGGACATCATGAACGAGGGAACCATTCAGACGAAGATGAATTGCGCCAAGTTGATTCAAATGTTGTTGGTGGAAGGTAACCCCTCCGAGACCGTTGTTTTATCAAGTTTGAGTCTTTTGGTTGGGGTTTTAAGGTTAGTGAGAGATAAAAAACACCCAACAAGCGTTTTAACCGGGCTCATATTACTCAAAATTGTGTGTTCGCGTGAATCGGTTAGAACCACAATTGTAAGCATAGGAGCAGTGCCTCAATTGATTCAGCTTTTACCCACTTTGAACAACGAGTGCTTGGAGATAGCCCTTCATATTCTCGAAGTGTTGTCAACACTTCCTGAGGGAAGATTGGCTTTGAAAGAGTCTCCCAATATTATTCCCAATGTGGTCAAATTGTTGATGAGAGTCTCAGAAAGTTGCACACAATTCGCATTGTCGATTTTGTGGGCTATTTACAAGCTTGCCCCTGAAGAATGTGCTTCAAAAGCTGTTGAAGCAGGGTTGGCGGCGAAGCTACTTCTAGTGATTCAGAGTGGTTGCAACCCAGTATTAAAGCAGAAATCTGCAGAGTTTTTGAAAATGTGCAGTTTAGATTACTCTTCTAGTATCTTGATTTCTAAGTGTATGCTTACTGCCACAATACAATGAAAATGAAGAAAAATTTGTCCATAATTAACTTCGTATACTTAATTCTTTTTGGTGTATCTGGTATACGTTTAATACAGTCAAATTAACTATGTTTTCTTTGGTACAGTACCATATCAATTTTTGGGGTGTATAGGGCAATTGCAAATTGACGGTTGGAACATAACAACTAGTTGGTGGTACTACTATTAGGTTAGAGTTGGTTGGAAATTCAAATCAGGGTGGATTGGATAACAACGCTGTGTGCTTCTGAAATAATTGTGGGAAGCTGAGTTGTAAGATCATAGAAAACGATAATGTAATAGTACTCCTATTTATTCTGAAGCCCCACTTTTTTTGTTCCCGTGTGTTGGGATTAGCTGGAGGAGGAGTGACTAATCAGTGTTCTGTTTTGTTTGACACAAAAATTCAGAATTATAAATTGGAATTAAGATGAGAATGAAGATTTTAGTTTTTGTTTTCGAGAGTTTTTTTTTTTTTTTTACTAGATAAGAAAATATATATAATTGCTCCGGTCCAAACAGATAATTGATTTGCTTTGTGTTTGTGTTATTGTGGGAAGAGGGTATTGTTGATGACAGGACAGAAAGTTTTATTTTTGGGAGCAAAAAGATGAAGGGTCAACAAGGAAGAATCTGGATTAGGCGTGGTCAAGATCGGGTGAACCACAGAGTATTAAATAAAAAGTGTAGCAATTTTAAAGTTGAGAAAGACAACGAGACACAATTTATGACATATTTAAAATTTGTCAAATCTCGTATTCCATGAGAGCGCGCGGGTTCTTTTGGTTGAACAGTCAACCAAATTTTAGCCGCTTCTCACGTTAAATTGAATAATTTTTCTTATTTTTTTTTGGTAAATTCTCCGGTAAAAGGTTACGCAAACAAAATCTACCAGTTGTATACAACACATTACTTTTTTTAACATATTTTTCTAATATATTTTTATTATTAGTAAAATTTTAAAAAATAAAATAAATTTCACAATTTTTTTTGTAAGTTTTTATAAATTAAAATAAAATTGACAATTATTTTATCTATTATTAAAAGTTTATATATACAATAATACATGGTTCATAAATGAGATATAAATCTCATTATAAACTGAATTTATAACGTTTATTTAAATATTTTTATTTTTAATATAGCATCATATCATCATGTGAGACAGTGAGTATAATTAATAATTATAAGTTATAGTTTATTTCTAACCGATTCCTTCTATGTCAAATGTGTTTAGTTTTATAGCATAAAATTATCAATGTTTTACTATTTTTTATACTATTTTAAAACTATTAATGTTTTATAAATTATAAGTTTCATTAATTATTTTCTGTCATATATATATACATATATATATATATATATATATATATGTGTATTAATTAAATTTGATTCTCGTAAGGATATTGCGCCTGCAACCCTTTTAAAAAAATAGCATTAATCTTATATTAAACAAAAAATTTTAGACTAAATACATTAACATTTTAAATATATTAAATTGACCTTAAACATTTCAAAAATAGAAAAATAGTTGTTGAATGCAAATAACCTATTAAACATTACAAAAATTATTTCTCTAAACATTTAAACAATCGACATGCTTTTCTTTTTTTGGGCTGAACAACTCCTTTAAGGCCTCAAAGAACTTTTTATACACTCCAAATTCAATTTTCGTAAGTTCAATTAGTTATTTCTTATCACCCAATCTGTGTTTGGCAGCGGATGGTGATCTTGAACATGAATAATTCATTAATTTTTTTAAATATAAAAATTATACTTAAATAATTTATAATTAATTTATTTTAATAATTTTTTATTATAAAATTACTTCAAACAATTATGATCTCAATAAGTAACTCGTTAAATATTTTATGAAATGATGAATTAGGATTGATTTGTGAAAAAAAAATACTACATTTAGTTTAAGGAATATTTCTACCATTTTATTAAAGAAAAGCCGAAAAATACATGTGAGAGTTTAATATATAACTCTTACTCCTTAAATCTCTAGAATTTTATCCACTGCAACCTATTAATGTCTCATATTCCAATAAATACGTAATTAATTTTTAATTTTCTGATTTTCTGCTAACTTTAATTTATTTGAAGTTTATACGTGAAAAAATGCATATTTGAATAATTTAAAATATATTTTAAAATAAATTGTAATATTTTATTTTATTTTATAAAATTATTATTTCATCTTTAACTATAATATAACTTTAATTCATAGTATTTTATTAAATTCCAATAACATTTTAGTAATTCTCTATATTAATTAATTTTTTATTATATCAAATTGTTTCTGGGAATTTCGATCGATTTCGATTCTAAGGGTATTTTGGTCTTTAATCGAAATCCTCCCACGTAAGCTCTTTTTACTTAGGCTAGCAATTTGATTTTCAATCGAAAACGTGTATGAGAATCGAAAATCACAGGATATCGAAAACGCTATTTTTGGTGTTTTGTATTTAAAGTATCGAAAGCATTAAGACTATCGAATCGAAAAAGCGAATGTTAAATTGCGAGGAAATGTAAAGTGCGAAAACCCCAAACTTGCATTAATTGTAAATAGCAAGAAATCGAAAACAACGCAAATATAAATGACAAGAAATCGAGATTGCAAGAAAAGTAAATGACAGGAAATTGAGATTTGCAGAATGTTAAATAACATGGAAATCTAAATGCAGAAACTCAAATTTTCATTGAATTGAAATGAACAAGGAATCGAAATACGTAAACATAAAACTGCTGAATTTAAGTTGCATCAAAGTAAATTACCAAGGAAAATACTGAAAGCGGTAAATGTACTCAGTGAGTAAGGAAATCCAGATTGCCGTAAGCTTCATGGTGTTCGTCGTTTCTCCGTAGACTTGTCACTACCGATTCTCGTTCTCCGCCAATTTCTCCTCCCCTTTTTCCTTCCTCCTTTGTTCTATTTATAGGGTATCCTTCAAGCCTTCCAAGAGCAGTTAACACGACTGCTACCACGTTCTACGTGCGTATGGCCGTTTATCTTCTATAGTTTCTCACGTTCTTCACGATCTCCGACTTTTTCCCATGATTTCAAAACTGCTCTTTATACGTGCATTCGACTTACTTCCTTTCACGATTTGGCCAAAGTCTCGATGTCCACATTGGCTTTCCTTACTCTCGATTCTGTATTTTTCGAGAACTTCGAATTGCTTACGATTCCTTTTTTAACTCTGGTCTTACATGACTTAGTTTTTATTCGACAACAGTCATTTGATTATTATTCATTCGATTCTCGATTGTGCTTCTCGATACTATATGCTATGTATTTCTAATTAGACATCGAATGAATTTTTGTTTATCTTATCGAGTCACATTTCTTTCCTTCGATTTCGATCGCTTTTCTCGATTTGCCACTAACAAAATGCCCCCTTGGAAGAATATAAATGATTTCTGTTTTATATTCTTTCAATATTCCCGCCTTAGTGTTGGAAAGCCCACAGGTTTTAGGGTTTAGGGTTTCTGGGGTTCTAGGGTTAAAAAGGGTTTTAGGTTTCTTTTCCACTTTACGTCGTCGTCTCGTCAGTCTGTTGCCTTTCAGTACAAGTTACATTAATTACCTTTCCTTTCCGTCGCTTCCAACTCCCTAGACAATTTCCCTTTAATCTTTCCTTGGTCTTTACTCTGGTCTTTACGCGAACCTCTTTGCAATCTCATCTTCTCCTTTGAACTCCTGCCTTCGTCCCTATTACCTCATCCGTTAACTCTTCCCTTTCTATTTTCCTAAGCTTACTCCAATGGCCACTTCATCTAAGTCATCTGATTTCTCGACTCCCCCTCTTGCCTCATCCGCTGCTACCTTGCTGGAGATTAACAACCAGCGGTTTGCTCCCCTGCCTCTGATGGAGGAAGCTTCCAAAAAGATTGCTGAAACACAGGTATTAGTTCCTTATACTGTTGAGGGGGTTGGTTTTGCTTTTGGGGGCCCCATTCTTTCTGGTAGCGGAACGGTTTCTCCCCTCACCCTCTCAAACAGCCCTGCTCTTGTACATCAGCCTGAAGTTAGGATCGATTTTCTGAACCTTGTTTCTAAGGTGTATCGGACAGGCCCTCCCTCCAAAAAACCTTTGTTCACTAGATGGTTTGATAGGGTCAAGGCTAAATTCGGGGACCATTGGAAGAATGTGGGGATTTTCGATTTTTTACACTTGTCTCAATGTGACTTGTCCTACTTAGACATGGCTATGTTTTTGGCTGCCGTGCATTTGTGGAATAAGGAAATACATGCGTTGGAATTACCTTGCGGCCCTCTCTCACCTACTCTTTTCGATGTCGCAGCCATCACTGGGTTAAAACCTATAGGGGAGAGATACTTTCAGGGTGCATATCCCTTGGATAATTCATTGAAGTCCAAAATTGATTGGGAATCGAAGGCCTACGGGCATTTTATTGAGAAACATTTTGTTGATGATCCCTCGATAGCTGTTACTGATGAAGAACATGTAGCATTTTTGGTGTATTGGCTGTGCACCCATGTGTTTTGCCCCCGATCGATCCAAATTTCCCCCCATCTATTCAACCTTGCGTATCTCCTTCACTTAGGTCATCCTAGCCTATGTTTGGCCAAATTTTTGTTAGCGCATGTATATACCGCTTTCGACGAGGCCGTCGAAATTTTGAGTACTCCTAAGGCATCGGGGAATTTTTCTGGCCCCGTTTGGTTTATACGAGTTATGGTTAACTTCAATTTTTGAGAGCGTCCTTCCTCGATTTTCTACTCGTTCCCCGAGTGTAAATATAGAAGGGGCCCGATTATCCTCTCGCCATCCTCGCCATAAGTCTGACGAAACTACCTATTGTAAATACCTTCACTTTTTGTTAACTAGATTCGATTTCGATTCAACCTTGGCCCCTTTTACTGTAAATCTTGGACGAACAAGTGGCCAACTTAGGGGGCCTATTTGGTTTAAGTCAAAGTTTCCTGCTTCAACTCCTAGGTTGCAATTAGAATTGATCGATATATGGAGT